TCTCAATAATAGATAAAGGGCTTCAGACAGGAATCGTTTAAAATAACTAGTACCGTGGCCGACAAGAACAAAATTTTACACCGCAACTTTTGGTGTTTTACACCGCAACTTTTGGTGTTTTACACTGCAACTTTTGGTGTTTTACACTGCAACTTTGAGTGTTTTACACTGCAACTTTTGCTGTGTTTTACACTGCAACTTTTGCTGTGTTTTACACTGCAACTTTTGGTGTTTTACACTGCAACTTTTGCTGTGTTTTACACTGCAACTTTTGCTGTGTGGAAAACTTACACCCCTCCCCTTTTATAATGGACGGTCCCCCTGTCAGGTCAAAGGTGACAACGATGGCATGCAAACTACGTCGACTGAGTTATCCTTTTCGTGCATAAGTTTTTTAGAGGAAAAGCTTGGCTACGTTGTGACGTTAGATTTTTCTAAAGGTTTTTCTAGCTTTGGCCTATAGATCGGGATAAATTTAAAATGTTTCGACCAGGTCCAGTGATTACAAATTATGTTGCTTTTTGCTGCCATGCGTCACAACAAATTTATCAAGGACGTCAGATATCCAGCTCCAGACATCAACAGCAATGGCATAAATTTTCTGCAGGTTAGTTCATTATTATTGGGTATGGACATCGTTTTTCTTCATTTTAATGTCCCTAGATGTCAGCTTGTGACTTAAACGGATGCCATCTTTGTCACCTTTGAACTGACAGGGGGACCGTCCATTATAAAAGGGGAGGGGTGTAAGTTTTCCACACAGCAAAAGTTGCAGTATAAAACACAGCAAAAGTTGCAGTGTAAAACACCAAAAGTTGCAGTGTAAAACACCAAAAGTTGCAGTGTAAAACACAGCAAAAGTTGCAGTGTAAAACACAGCAAAAGTTGCAGTGTAAAACACAGACAAAGTTGCAGTGTAAAACACCCAAAGTTGCAGTGTAAAACACCAAAAGTTGCGGTGTAAAACACCAAAAGTTGCGGTGTAAAATTTTGTACTTGTCGGCCACGGTAACTTCAATATACTTTCTACTTGTTTCAGGCACAGGTACACAGTAGGAGATGCCTTTGTCGGCTACCATCCCGACACAGCCGCTACCGTGGTGTTCCAGGTCTGCTCAGAGATGAGTGGGGTAGACACAGATGACCCTTCACTGGAGGAACAGGTGAGTTTTCATGTTCTGTTGTTGCCTCAGATATCTTTAACTGCTATGTTGAAGTACATGAACAGTAGGGTCTCAGAAGATACCAAATCCTTGCTGTTAGTACTGGCTGGATAACTGGATACTTTTCATTGTTTCCATGATTCACTCCTTACAATGTATATAACACAGTACTACTAACTAATAGTTGGTGGATATTTAATTGATTTCTGTAGTTTTCTCGTACATATTTTAGGATTACTCGTGGTCATATTGGATTTATGATTCACATGCATGAAGGAGTCAAAGAAAGTCTTTGTTTTCCTAGTTGTTACAGTTTTTCCATCTATCAATGCAGTTTTTCCATCTATCAATGAATTGAATTACACACCACCCTGGTATGTTGACTTCGTGGCTCCTATTGTAGCATATGGGGCTATCATAGCACAATTTCTTTTGTCTCACCCTATCACTTAATATTTTTCTAAAAAAACACCTGAGAAGTAACAAATTGAATTGTTGTGGCCTAAGTATATATTATTATTAATTAAATGTAAATTCAAATAATTATTGCTTGTGTACTCTAATGTTTAGTGACACTGCCTCTGGACTAAGAGGTTGGGAGTTCAAATCCCAGCTATTGGTACTCACCCAACATGCAGGCTAATGTAAAGGCTCACAGTCCTTAGGACGGGACTTTAAGCTGTGGTCCACTGTTCATTATGCTTGTGATAAAAGGAGCTACGGGAATTTCCCCTTACAGTGAACCCATAAACAGTGATTCAGTATCAAACTGGCTTAGCTTCAAATCTTCTGTTTCATAACACAGTGTCCTCCTTATGTTCCCTGACTTCATATTCAGATACTACAGAAGGCCCAGGACCTTCTCCTCCAGTGTGCCACACCAGACGCTGTGGTCAGGCTGTCCAAGTCCAAACTGTCGTCAGAAGAAGCTGCCCTGAAGGACAAGTACTTCCATCAGCAGCACCACTCCTGTCTGCAGGAGTTCCTGTGTCACAGGATCCACCAGGCTAGACAGGCAGGAGGGTGGCAGCAGGGCATACTGACACAGGTAGCATGGCAGCATTACGTACATTCATTTAATATTTATTTACCCAGGGTCAGCATATCGCCATGTTGGCGGTTTTCAAAGCTCCCTGCTCAAAACATAATATAATAAAAGGAAAGGTATAAACTAACTTAAGTACAATGATCATAGAGTCGTAATAATAAAAGAAACAGAACACAGTAAAGTACAAAAAACAAACTAAATAAATATGACAAAATGATGTAATAATAATGATCATGGGACTCAATTTGCACATCAATGTTTATGAACATACTGAGCCAGTACAAAATCATGGTTTCTGTTGAATGTTTGGTGACCCTATAAGTGTCATCAGAATTTTGTCTGTTGCATAAGATATTGTTTCCAATAGACACATTTGAAAATTTAGCATTTGAAAACCTCAGACGGGATGTCATCGTTATATACCCAAACATGACCTTAAATAGATTCTTTATTGACACAACAAAAAAGTACAGAGACTTTTGTATGGTCTTCTACAACTTAACTAAAGATCTAACAAAGCTAAATACATGTGTGGATAATGTCATCTTACGTACAGAGTATATGTATGATGTAACAATAAAGGTTAACTATTCTCTAACATGTGGTCTCTAAGATCGAAACATTCTTTAATGTATTTTCCTATTTGAACACTGTATTGGTTATCTCCCCTGAGAATGTAGTTGAATTTATCTATAGCATCTAACGTATTGAAGCTGCATTATTTAGAAGTGCTGTATTTATGCACATTACATGACGTACATTCCACAACAGCAACAACAACATGCCACATTTCGCTCAGGCACAGTATGTTTTTTCAATGTGCTAACATACATATGTAGGTCATTCTTTTAACTCAAACTGCTCTAATGCTATAGTACTACTGAATCCTGTTTCAAATTTGCCTTGTAGTATGAATTGAAATTTTTTTTAAACAGGATTTTTTCATGCTGTCTTTTCGAAACTAAACTTGGACTTCACTCATGTACTGCTACTAGCAATAATTTCATAATTACATGTAGATCAGTTGTCCTTTATATTAAAAAATGACCACTCATAATCATATATCAAGACAATAGGTTCAATTGCTACATGTGAGTGTATTTAGTGTGAATGATTTTATTTCAATTTATCAAGTTTTACAGTTTGTTAGGGCATTTTAGTCTAGGTCCTCATAGTTATGTTCTGTTTCCCTTAGGTGACAACCCACTCCAAGCTACTGTCTCACACAGATGCCCAGAGGCTGGCCACAGCTCTGGACCTGCCACCTTCTCATGTAGCCGTCATGTCACTGCAACAGTTCGACACTGAGCATCAGTTCTGTAAGCAAATCAGGTCAGTCTTCAAGTTTGTTTTTTTTGGTGCATCATGATACTTGTGAATGTGAGTGAGGTGATACTTGTCATGTCATGAATTCTTCAGGTCTTCTCAAAGATAAAGACTCAACAATTAAGGGTAAGGCCACTGTAACCAACTATATTCTATTCATAAAACAGAATTATCTTAGACTTTACAGCAGTTTGACATCACCATGATTGTGATAGATATAAATCATGACACCATTCTCTGTGTATGATCATCTTTTGTTATGTGACTGTACTTCTACGTATGGAATAATAAGATAAACACAGTGTCTCATTATGTTTGCCTTTGCAGAAGAACAAATTTGTTAATTTCTTCTTTTCCAAAGCAAAAAGGTCAATGGCCTAGACCAGATGGCTGTTATCATGGCAACTGGTCTGATAACAGCCATCCAACACCACAGGGTGGCTGCTGTAGCAGACACCCTGTGGTTTTGGATTACATTATGTAGCAAAGTTGCAGAACAGTTTGAGGGGCTGGTCACCATATATATGATTGTGTTTGAGTAACAGACAGAGCAGTAGTTTCTTAAGCTAGACCATGTGAGAACAAACATTATGCATTTGCTTTGCAAATGTTACCTTAAAAGTTTCTACCAGTCATATTGTTATTTTTATAGAGATTTCCTGACAGGAACACTGCACGAGGAGTCCGTCCTGGTGGTCCAGTGTGACTCCGGCCACACCAACAGTAACCTGATAGCCTGCGCCCGGTACTGCGTGCAAGACGAGCAGACACAGGTGGGCAACACCACGGCTCACCTGGTCTTCATCGTGCAGCTGCCCCGCCTGCCGAGAGGCTGCTTCGTGGGGTTCCAGGGCGGCCGGTGGACGTGTGTGCACATCGACGACCTGCAGCCGCCGCAGAGGAACGCGCCCGACGTGAGCGAGATGATCAACAAACCCATCAGTCAGCTACTGGGTGGGCACAGGAGGGAGGAGGACACACGCTCCATGGACATGGATGCCGAAGAGGAGGAGGAGGAGAACTTTGTTGACAGATCAGTACAGATGGAGGTGTGTGTTAAACCAGAAAGACTGTTCATTACAACTACTAACAGTAATATAGCGGTTTTGATTAGTTAAGTGGTTTGGCACAAGATCAAGGGGTGTCACGGGTTCTATTCCTGGCATTCCTGTCAGGCCGTGTCCTTTTGTAGTGGGTTGTTGATCCAGTGTGCCTAAGGCACGGTATTGTAAGTTGGAGCCCATGATTCCTTTCCTTCCACTGCCTTTTACTTCCCAAACCAAAGTTTGCTGCCCATTTTACATCTGGGTTGAGTGAAGAAAGTTCTGTAAAGTGCCTTTCCAAAGTCCACAACATCTGGTGCCAGGAATCAATGGTATAACAACAGCATTTTATAATGTTCACAAGGATATTCCATAACCTCCAGTGAAATTGTTTGATGTTTGGTTTAGGAGGAGGATGTTGTCCATGGTACTGAAGCTTGTGTGTTATGGTGAAGAGTAGCTATACTAGCTTATCAATAGGGATACAGCATATTTTATCTATAATCAGTAGATATACTGGCTTGCTAGTACAACATTAGCTAACCTTCCAGTGAAATTGTTTGATTTTGGATTACCGGTAGGAGGAGGATGGTATCCTTGGTACTGAAGCTGGTGTGTCATGATGAAGAGTAGCTATACTGGCTTACATTATTGACTATAGATACAGAATATTGTATCAGAATATTGTTCCAGTGAAAATATTTGATGTTTGATTCAGGAGGAGGATTCTGTCCATGGTACTGAAGCTGGTGTGGAAGAGGACATGGATGTAGAGGAGGATGAAGAACCCCAGGAGGTTACCATGGAGAGAGATGGTGGGGATACTCTAGAAGAGATGGACCTGGATGACATTGGGCTTGAACTCACTGCTGACAGGGAAGAGGTAGACCCAAAACCAAAGACAACCAACAAATATAAGGAGGTACTTTTATGCATAATCATAAGTTAGTCTAACTTTCGTTGTTGCGTTTTGGTACATTTTGTATATATGTGACATAGGGGCTATCTTAGAAAATGTAATTCCTTGTAGTTGTTTCTTCTTACTGTATATTTTAGATTCCAAAAAAGCTGTAAATACCAGTGAGATTCTTTCTCCAGTGCAAAGAATTCGACTTCTGAATTGGTCAACTGACTTTGGCATAACACACCACTTTGCAGGCACAAACTCCAACTTGTCCAAAGTCCAAAGATATAGGGCCCTGATAAGACCTAGAGTATGTAGTGTTTATGGTTTTAGTCCTGAAAAAACTAGGGTCAGTAAGTTAAGGGATTCTCTTTTTTTTCCCCAGGATCAGGGCTGTTGCCAAGAGTTGTTCCTGTATTTGCTTGTGGCAGAGGGACAAAATTTCATCTGATTTACTCAATAAAAAATTTGCATCTGAAAATCCTTTAACAACGTTTCAAAGGGTTTGGAATTAAGATATCAAATGAGAAATTTAATGGACTTGCCAGTGGCGACCAGAAAAATCGGCAGGTTTTTGCTAGGATTGGCCATGAAACTGAAACACAACATTTTGTCCTGTGCCTTTTGTCTGAGATGAAGTTAATGTTCATTACATCTCTTGCCCTGGTTGTGTGTGCCATCCCCAGGTGTCTGTGTTGGATGATAAGATGCTCCTGGTCAGCTGTATCCAGGCAACAGCCGCCATGCTGGAGGATCCAAAGCACCTGCCAAAGAGAAGGACTGTGACCAGGATTGAGAAGCTCATGGAGCTTCTGCAGGAGAGGGCGGAGAAAGGTTTGTGAAAGAAAGACAAAGATTAATTGGAAATGGTACAGAACCAAGCTGCAAGTTGTTGTTGGTTGGGCCGACTACTCCCTCTTCACAGCCAGGGGCTGAATTGCGAGGAGCTTACCATTTGGTGCGGCTACAATGTAGCTCTCAAGGACCTGTAATTGCAACCTTTCTGTGCTATAGTGAACTCAATACAACAGTTGTAATTTCCCTCTCTGTTGGTGTAAGGCGTCCTACAGGTTACCCCAGCAAAGATCTCATTTTAAAATGATAATAAGCTACTGTAATATTGTAATGAGCTAACTGCGGCCTGGATGCTTTTAAATATGCAACAGTTTGAGTGATAATCCACTGCCTCTGCCCCGCCTGTCATTTTGCATTTGATTGGAGCGCTAATTCTATCCTGTGGAACCTCTCTTTTGTTACCAATTGGCTGATCAAGAGTAGAAGTCATGTCCGTCTTGCGTACATGTACATATCACAGACAAAACAACTATTTGACGCTCCTTGCTGTAACTCTGATCATGGAGGTACCTCCAAGCTCTGATCTAAATCTGGCCACAAAAAACAGAAGCTACCGTTAGTTCCTCCTTTTACTTTTTTGTTAAAGAATTATACATTATATCAGGCATAGAAATATGAAAATCTAAGAAATATAACAACATGATATTAATAGTTTTATAACCAGCAAGTTGTATTTTGCCTTTCCCCCAAGTTTCAGCCATTTCTGACCAGCTACGGCTGAGTTATGGCATTTTTACGAAAAGACCTGAAAATTCAGTAAACTGACACCGTGGGACGCCTTACACCAAGTGAGCTAGGTGTGGCCATTGGACTGTAAGGTTTCGATCCCGTCCTTGATCCCGTCTAGGCAGTAGTTTGAACCTGTGTAGCCAGGGTCTGTAAGAAATGATCGCTCACTGTGTACCATTTCAGGTCCCAGTTTCTGTGATGTGGTGAAGGCTTGCATTGTGCAGCTGCTGGAAGAGAAGGAGAGGAACAAAGCAGACGGAGGTGTGAACTGGCTCACTAACGAGGCTGCTACACCCAAGGCTATCACAGAAGCAGGGACACTCAGGTAGGGACAAGTACACCTGTTATATATACATTTATGTCACCTGGGCCAGTATATTTTCATTCTATACCCTTTTCTTTTTTTGTTCAATAGTTGTTGCCATACATTGTACCATGTACAAGTGTCTTGCAATAAAGTTCTTAATCTACCACACAAATGCACAAGCTGTAAATATTGGCCATTTGTCCTAGACTTCAAGTATATTTGTAGGGAAAAAAATCCTACAGTACATTTTGAAACGTAGACAGCTACATATATATCATAGTACATGTACATGAATGTATCAGTTATGCTTCCTTCCTTTATTTCTGAAATGTCAGACAATCAGCCTGGAACCACCTGTCCTCGGTGATAGCCCCTCTGCTGGCCGAGATTGTTGCCTACGCTGACAGGAACTGTAACCTGGACCACATGGTCACCCCTGCTGGAGAGTGGACTGTTCCAATCTTCCTGGACATCCTGAGCGACAAGCACCTGGTGCCTTTCCACTACAGTGACATGCTGTCTCCTGTTATGAATGTACAACGTCAAAAGGTATTTAGTGAATACACATTTACAATTCTTACTAATATTTAAGTCAATTTCCATAAGAAGGGTTTCCAACCATTTGAAGTGCATTGCAGTCTATTTGGACCAACTTTGATCTAGAAACGTGTATAACAATTTGATTGAATATAGTCCTTCATTTTTTGGGGGATTCCTGTTGAAATTGATAATAGGACCTTACCTGCACCCATCCTCATGCTGTTTGTTTGCTTGTGTGAAGTGTAGGTCTCCAACAACCCACAACTTGAGCCACCATGAGCTCCAAGAAGTTTCAATCCAACATACCGTATACAAATTAATGCCACACTAATTTGATTTGTTGGTTCTTGCATTTTCTGAGAGAAAATTTAACATGAAGTGACAGTGCGGAAAAAAACAGGCCTAGTCACCTTACATTGTATGATAATTCTGAGAGAGTCAGCCTTTTAAGGTAAAAAGTCAAAATAAAAAGTCAACATAACAGAATTGTCGAACCACTGCATTTTTAATGGAACCACTACATTGTTAGATGGAAAAAATAGGAAGAGAAGGACTTTCTTTAACTGTCAGAGCCAAAATGTAAGCATTTTGGAGTTGATTCCGAACCTGAAATTCTTTTTTGTAAATCAGAAAAATATTAAGCCAGGCAAATCCAAGAACCAATAATAACAAGAAGCCATAGGCGACAATCCTCTGTGAAGTTTTATATATTGCAACAAATATCATCCCAAGCGTCAATGCCAGACCTACTGTACAGACATAAGGCAGCGGTTAATTCATGTACAATGAGGGCGTGTCACAACCATAAAACATAAAAAGACCTAAATCCATTACTGCTCTCAGGGCGTGTAAAGATGCTGTGCTTCAAGTTCGAAGTTCTTTTAATTACACACACACAATCTTTGCATTCACATAAAGATCGGACTATCATGGTCGTGTCACTAGTAACAAAAGACAGCCTCACCGTCTTACCGTGCCTGTTACTTATTAAGCGCGACTGGCAAATTCCAGCAACAGTTGCGGCTAGCACCGTGAGTGTTACTGCCATGGTGCCACTTATCGGCCCCTCACCATCTGCCTGAAGTTCAACGGCAAAAATACACATTCGTGCATCAACACGGGCATGCCCGCAGACGGCGTATAAAATTGCATGCCGATTACACAAAGAGAACCCTGTGTTTTGACTGCAAACACGAAAAAACGTCTCTTCACAACACTCCGTCCGGAGGTCCTGACCTCCTTTACGGAATAATAAATTGGTGTCGTCTAATGGTCTGAAATGTTGCTTGACGTTCCCCAGATCCCAGTGCTGAGTTCAGGATGTGGTGAACAGCTGTTTGAGTGTAGGGTGCCTTTCTCCTGGGTCATCCGAGGTCAGGTGGACGCCATGCTGAAGACTGCACAGAAAATGGAAGGTAGGGATGAACCCTTAATATGTTAGGATTTACTTGACGTTCCATGTTTTCAGTTTCAAAGAGTTGCCTTATTATGTGCTAAATTGAAGATTGATTTGTTTTAATGTACCCTATCTTCAAAGTTTTTGTTGCTTATGAGTTACAAAATAATCTAGTCTCAAAGAGTCAAAGCAGATTTGTAAGATTTTGTATACTTTAAAGTTTAAGGGTGAGCCAAAGTATGAAAGTCTTAGACATAATGATTACAGAACAGGGCATGATGACATGTATGATTTGTGACATTCATTATACAAGGGATGTTGACTCATATTATTGCGATGACGTATTCTTAATGCTCTTGAAACTTACATGCAAGTGTCAAATTGCAGGACAAAATTTTAACATTCTGGAATATTGTAAAAGACTGAGTCAGACACAAAGTATTTTAACCACTATGTAATAATTTTTAGCCACGTCTCAGGAAGGAGCCTAATGTATTGTATGTAATTTGTAGTATTGTATGCAATTTGAAAAACTTTCTAGGAATTGCACAGGTATTTTGTCCACAGGCATGGACTGTCCACAGGAATGTCTCCCTGAGCTCTGTTTGCAGATTCCTGGAAACCCTTGGGAAAACCTCCTTCCTCAAAATCATGAAATCATGGCAGTGCCATGCAAACTATAACCACTGTCGCCATGGCAATCTATGTTTTCGTTGCCAATCTTGTTTGTGGCTTCTCTGTAGCATTGACTTGTGAGAGTCCGGATCAGGCCCTGCCCAGGCTGTTTAGGGAATCCACCATTGGCAAGATTATCCACAGAGCAGCTGAACAGGACCAGAGTGAGGAGGACATCGCTGCCAGATATCTGCACGACTACGTGTGGATGACTTACAGGATGGTCACAACATCAGCTGAAGAGATGAAGGTGGAACAAACATAATAAGCATGTTTAGAAAACATACTGCACCTGCGCAAAACCTGTAATGTTGTACAGAGCTTACTTATATTTAAGTATGACATCCTGTCAATTGTTTTGAAATGTTGTGTTTGAAAAGATATCGTCTGAAATTGGCAAAATTCAGATGCAACATGGACCAAAAATCCAACGAAAAATGAAAAATTCGCGCAGGAGAAGTACAATCTGCCAGCATGCTGAACAGAAGGTATTTGCTGATGACCTGTTAACAACTTCAGGAATGAAACAAAATGGTTATAGAATACCCCTTCATATAATGTCATAGTTGCCAACATTTGTATTGTTTCTTGTTAATTAATGTCGTAATGTTTTAGCCTAACTATTCTTTCCTCTAATTCGTACAGATGAGAAATGATTGTGGCAGAAAAGATGTCAGCTGAAGAATGATAATTTCACTCTACATAATATTGTATTACATTAAATTTGGATTTCCTGCACCTATGACAGATGGTCTGCAGTGCTGTAGAATTGTCTGCCAGAGAGCTGCATGCCCAGTCTGGATCAGAAGAGCCATTCTGCATGACCATCCCAGCCGTCCACACTGCCTTCAGCCGTGTGCAGGGCCGTCTGCACAACCTGGCCCAGCTCCTGGAGACCACACCCAGCCTGCTGGAGAAACTCTGTCAGGTGGACTTTCAGTCAGACACATCAATGGTGAGATTTATGTTGTCATGAAACAGTCAAGATTGAGCTGTAATTTCCAACACAAGAAATCCTACCAAAATTTTTGACTGTACAACTCCAGTCTTTGTCTGTCCAGTCCACCGCTTCTGTGATGTCACATTATGCACCAATTTATTGTGTTGGAAAATGCAGTTCAAACCAGTGTCATCATGACTTCTACCAACACAGGCAAACTTTTGTTGTCATTGTTGATGACTGATTTGATCCAAAAATGATTGACTGTGCAATGAGGTAGTACTGTTGTAATTTTTTAACTTTTGGGTCAGTGACACCAATTTTTTTGATTAACACAAACTGCCATATACATGTACATATAACGTACAATGTGGTTTTTGTGTGATTTAGTCAGTTGATTTTTTGGCCCACTGTAATCTTGAGGGAATACAATTACATTGCAGCAACAGTATCTAGTTTGACTCTTCCATACAGCTTCTTTTTTTTTAGGTGCTCTGGATACGTCTTTCTTAATTTTTTTTACTGTTGAGTAGAGTATACCATAAAGAATATAACATCACAACCTTACTTACAGACTGTAGACACCACAGCAGTGCTGGCAGTGTTGGAGAGCCTGACACCAGAAGCACACAACATGGCCACCCCTGCAGAACGACAGAGCTGGCTGGGGCGGATGCAGTGTGTGGCTCCTGTGGTGGAGCGGGTCTTCGCTTCTGCTGCCTCCCCCGACAACAGTGTGTGCTACGGGGAGAAGAGCCTGACTCAAGTAAACATGGCAAGGTAATGAAGTTTGCAGCACTGTATATACATGAGTAATAGAGTGGATTCATTCCTCAAGTTAACAAAGCACGAGCCGCATAGTTCCCGTTTAGAACTTTTATTCAGCCTGTTATACCAGCCCTGATTTCTTTTCTAAGCTGGATTGTTCCTACACAGTATGATAGTTAATTTCTGCTACAATGTTGCAGCAAATTTATTCGGCTTGTCATATCAGCACTGGTTTCCATTCTAAGCTTGATTGTTCCTAGTACATGATAATTTTTTTTTATCAGTAAATTTCTGTTACAATTTTGCAGTATTCTTCAAGCATGTTTAAAAAATTTAATACAAACCTAGCTGGTAGTTTTCACTTTCTTTGTCACAAGCCTTCCTCCCATTTCATATCTTTCTAATCTGTCCCTACAATGTACATTTTGTATGTCAAATGCCTGAGTTTTATAACTACAAGTATGTATAAAAATAATACAATGAATGTACTACGTCACAGCTAGCCAGTTATCCTTTAAATTCCCACTTTTGTATGTATTGTTCATTGATATCTTTGGCACTTTGCTCTAGGTGCCATGCATGTCCAGTGACTTTTAGGATTGAACTGACATAATTTTATGTCAATTGTGACTCTCAATCTAAATACATTTTGAAAAACTGATTAATGTTGAAAAAACATGTACTTGACAGTAGATTTTTGTCATAATGAACATTACGGTTACATGGTGGTCAAATCTGGGCTTCAAAGTTCCCACATTTCATAGCATCCAAACTGTGTTCGATCATGTTCAATCTGGGGAATTCGAATCAAACCCACGTTCCATTTCGGGGTCACCTGCGGTCATTTACAATAAAGCGGCAAACAAGCCCTTCTGCCTCAGTGCCTCGCAACAGATAAAAAACAACACTTTTCTATAGATACAAACAGTTTCCTGGACAGTACATGTCCGCTATAATTTTTGGTGGATACGTAGCATGTAGCGAAGCTACTGTCGTATCCTTGGGTGACCTTGAATACTGTTATACAGTAATGATTCTTTACGCCTGTATGAATAACACGATGCACACTTTTGGGCGATGTGACATGTCTGCAAAACTTGTTCAAACCTGGATGCATGCAGAGTCAAGAATACCCCATTTATGGCTCAAAATGACTGTCACGGTTGTCCTGAAAATCGTGTTTTAGGGATTTTTAAAAAATGGTCTCAATTTTGAATTATGGGTAATTTAGTGAGAAAAATGTAAAAAAATGCAATTTTTTTCACCAATACGTCAACAAAAACTAGTCTAGACTAAGTCTTAAAATCAGAAATTAAAAGATTTCCAAAAACACGATTTTTGATCTTATAGCTAGTCGTCGAAAAATATAAAAATCGGGAATCTGGGGTAATATACATAATTATGCACGTAGCCAGGTTTGAACGATGTTTGCCTAAAAACATGACATGACTTGTGCTCGGAAACCCAAAAATAATCGTCTTTCTTTCGAAATTTTAAAAAATCAGTGATTTATCATAAAAAGCTTACATGAAAAGGATCATCAGTGATAACACGATAATTTCATTTTAATTTGACGAAATTTAAAACTAAATTATACAATTTGTTTATTTTCAAATGTTTTACGGGTAGTCCAAAACAGGCCAAAATAGCATCTTGTAACCCGATACCTTTTCGAATGCGCCTAGCAATGGGAAAGAATGCTGTAGTGACAGACCGCCGTGTTAATGATTGTAATATGCCAAAATGCATAGTTTTATTACATGTCATTGTTGCACTATTCTCAGATTCCTGTGGATCAGACTACAGACCCTGCAGATGTTCATGAAGCACATGTTCACATCTGCTGACAGTGAGGAGTCCCTCAGCACCAAGCAGATGGAAGTGCTGTGGAAGGTTGGCCTTTTTTGTAAAAATGTTTAGGAACCAAATATTACAGTGACTGTCCCACTTTGTATATAGTTTTCACTTCCATTGTCAGAAGCCTTCCTCCCATTTGTTCCTTTCTTATCAATATGTCAATTTACTGAGTTTTATTATTATATCCAGAAACCTATTAGATGGAGCTTGCATAAGGAGAACCTGCTCAAGTTTATAATACTCGGTTGGGTTAAGGCGTCCTAGGCTTATGGGAAAGTTACTAAGTATTCTATATATGTACATATGCCTGTAACTTTTGATAGCTTGGTCGCACCGCGACGAAACTTCACACAGTTTTAGTTGAACTTGAAACGCATTGAATAAAGGGTACTTCAATTTTCTACACCTAGATTTTTGGGTTAAAAATACACATTTTGGCTAAAAACATAGCCGTTTATTTCATGAATTTACGCGCAGGCGGTAATAACACCTTCCATCGTTATATTTTACAAGATGAAAGCCAACCCCATACAGGTTATTTCTGTCCGAGTCTATTTTGTTTTAAATGGGTATTTTGTTTTAGTTTTGGGTCAAAATCACAAGAAACAGCTATTTGTGGCCATTCTTGGTTTGAAAAATCGTCCCAGTAAGAAAACATCCAAATTTATGCAAAATAGCCTCGGACAAATTTAATAAGAAAGTGATAATATGTAAACATGGATCACTCTAAAGATGAATTATGTTGTTTTCAGCTGCGCGTAAAGCCGTTTAAGTCATACTCCATGACTAAGATGCGTAACAATGCAGGTTTACAGGGAAGCATACAAATGACTGCCGATAACCCCGAATTCGAACACGCATTGTATTCGAATGACGTCATATCGAACATGGTGGAACATGATTCGGGTTTGAAACATGTATGTGGCCATCGTGCAGACACACGCCCGAACTCGAACATGAACATCAGCCTAGGCCGCCTTAACCCAACCGAGTACATTTTATATGTTATACATATTAACATTCTGTCAAGAGATGATCAGGTTCTGTACAGTTGTCTGCAGATTGTTTGGATAAGCAACCTTTTGATTTTATACTTGTCAATATGTTTACCTTAGTTTGCAGAAACATTGTTTTTGCTTCATTTCTTCCTCAAGCAAACAAACAAGGCAAAAGACTGGGACCAGATGGTTGTAACTTAAGGGTAACTGGTGCTGTAGCAGACAACCTGTGATGTTGGATTACATGTAGATTATGTAGCAGGACAGAGTTGGAGGGGCTGGCATTTCTCAGTTAAAGTGTTCTTTCATTCTTTCATTCATTCATTCATTCACTCGCTCACTAGGTCCTCGGCAATGAACCTCAGAATGACTTTAAGAGTGTGAAGACCATGAAGACAGTTGAGAGGTTCCTGAAATCCTGCAATAGTCAGGCTGGCATCAAGCACTTCAGGTGATTCAGTTCTTTTCCTTATCATGTAGACTTAATGTCAGGATTTTTCCCTTTGCAGACAATATCTTATCCAACACAACATTTGAAAAGTATAGAATGTCATCCTTGAATACACAAAATTAATATGTATGACCTTGTACATGTATGTGTACACAAAAGTGACCTTGTAAGTGTTATTGACAAGACGTTAGTTAACAGCACCATAATTTATTTGGCAATGCTTAAAACATTACTGTTATTGCAGTGGAGGCGTTCGAGAGTGCATGATTTGCCAAGAGGGGTTGAGGGAACCAGTGAAACTGCCGTGTGACCATGTCGGCTGCCAACAGTGCCTGCGGAGATGGCTGACTCCTGATAGACAGAGCTGTCCACTGTGCCATGCTGTAGTGCCTGAAGATTTCCAGTGTACTGTTACCTTGGAATGCAGGTATTATTATCATTTAGACATACCTAGTATGCAGAAAATGTATTGAATTTCGTTTACAGGTTTTAGACGGTGTACAGAAAGTGCGAAATGGAACGAAATGGAACGAAATGAAGCGAAATGGAATGAAATGGAACAAAATGAAACGAAATGTGTATGAAGGAAAGCCGTTCGTACGTTGGAACGGCGACGCCAGTGTCCGCTAGACGTCCAAACGGCGACGTTAAGATTGATGGTATTCTTTGGAACTGCAACGTTATAAGATCGATCAGGGTACGTTAAGAATAAAGTGACCGCATCGTTATAAGATTGATCAGGGTACGTTAAGAATAAAGTGAGTTTTGAGTTGAGTAGTCAAAGTGTTTTTTCTTTGTGTAGTAACTTGTTGCGGCATTATTCTAGTCGAAACTTCTCATGTTTCGTCCTTGGTTCTGCCTTCCCGCAAGAAGTGTTGCTGATCTCAGAAACAACGTCCAGAGGAAATAAAGAGACAACTACATTTAACTCGCGGGGATGTCTAAAATTATGAGATCTAAATGTGTTGCGTTCAAGAAACACTGGCGGTTCATGCGATAACTTACAATAAAAGTACGGAACCAAGATGGCCCTGACAGAATCAAAACAACAACGGAGAGTGGAAAGATCGACGTCGGCAGTGTTACAAAATGGCACTCGTAATGTAACGTTTATTACTTTGTATCAATGGCTATATTTTCAAACAACAAGATCAGTTTACAGTACGAATCAGGGTTTATTTTATATTTTGTAGAAAAGGGTATAAGGGCAGCGTTTTTAGTAACATGTAGTCTAAGTCTCATCGAGGATTTTGGCTTATTGGCGTTCTTCAAATTCTTGCCCGATCTTGGCCGGTCAAGGGTAACCTCGTGGCCGCTGCTATCTGAGTATTTTTACGCTTTGAACAACTGAATTACACAGAGAGTTAGGAACCATGTTGTTCTCTCTCTCTCTCTCTGTGTGTGTGTGTGTGTGTGTGTGAGTGTGTGTACCAGGCCAGAAAATGATCATGCCTTGTACCCACGCTATGTATTGTTAGAATGTGTGAAATTAGAACAATTGAGGATCAGGAAAAGTGCGCATATGAATAGAACAGTTGGCGGGAAAAATTCGCAGGGGGCAAACAGCAAGGTAAACATACCTAGAGCCGGCCCAAAAGTGTCAACCAATCATGGACAGTTGTCAATGGTGACAAGTGTGATTGACATCTTATCTTCATCAATATTAATAAGCTACGAGTGGAGATTTTCAGGGCCGTTTTGAACCACCGTGAAAAGTTCCTGTGAATAATTTTTGCCAACCGTCGGTAACAATGGCGGATCATTTGCATGCGGGGGAAAGAATTAAGCTCCGCCCCAGCCAACACAGCAAAAAGTGAAAAACGCTGTATAATAACGCTTGCCTCATGCACTCTTGGTGAATTCTGAAAATGAAATGTTACCGTCGTCCAATTCCTTATTCTAGTCCTTACTTCCATACTCAGTTCCGTTTCCCTGTCATGATTTCGTGCAATTCGCAGCGGGTGATTAGCATACTAGCATATCGTCCAACGCAGATTTTGCACGCTGTACCCACATTTTCAGGAAGAAATTAGCCACACAAACACAGCAAAAAAAGTTATGCTGTATCTAATAGACTAAGTATTGAATAGGTTAAAGAAATAAAACACATATTATTTATTCACCACTCTCTTCTGTATTTTAAATAGTCCGTTACGTTCCTTATATTTTGCAATCTATTTCATTTCGTTGTGTTTATATGTAAGGGACGCGGCTGGTGATAAAATTTCTCTCCGTGACCGTATGCCAGGACAGACAGAGACCACAAAGAAACACGTCCGCACACTTTAACTGATCAACTCAAAACTCACTTTATTGTTAACGTACTCTATAACGTTTCGGTCACTTTATTCTAAACGTACCCTGATCGATCTTATAACGTTGCGGTTCTAAGAATACCAGCAATCTTAACGTTGCCGTATGGACGTCGAGTGGACACTGACGTCGCCGTTCCAACGTACGAAAGGCTTAACGGCTTTCCTTCATACACATTTCGTTTCATTTCGTTCCATTTTGTTCCCTTTCGTTCCATTTCGTTCCATTTCGCACTTTCTGGGGTCCCGGTTTTAGAATACACTTCATACCTGAATTATCATGTGTACTTTTGCAGTAGGAAAACATGTTGATTTTGCTCAGTTTCTTCATCTCTAAAAAAAAAAGATCAAGGACTTGTCACCATGGTAACTGGTGCTGTAGCTGACACCCTGTGGTGTTGGGGGTACATTACATGTATGTAGCAAATTGTGAGACAGTGTTGGAGAGGCTGGTCACTATATAATAATCATAGGAATGTGTTTGAGTAAGAATAAGCAGAGCAGTAGTTTGTTACTAGGCAATACCATATGCAATGGTTAACATTATGCATTTACTTTGCAAAATGTATTACCCTAATAGTATGTTTATAGTTTGATGTAAAGTTTGTTGTAATTTTTGCAGTGACAGGGATGCAGTGGAGAAGCACAATGCCTACAGACGTTGCTGCAACTCTTTCTTCATGGAGCTGGTGTCTCGCTTCTGTTTCGCTGGCGGCACGCCTCCAGAGGCAGGAGTGGTGGAGATGCTCCTTAACTATGTGGTAAGAAAAGGAACTACTGCCAAGACCAAGAAGTTCACACTGTTCGAAGATGACTGCATCGACCAGACACCTGTCATCCGCCTGTTCCTTCTGCAACTTCTGCTCCGAGCAAAGTGAGTCATTTAATATTTATTAGACATTAGGCCTCACCAATTCAATTTGATGGTTTTCAGATATTTTTTGAAAAAGTATGACATGTCAAGCTACATTCAAAAACTGGCCTGGGCATCCCATGATAACCACCAATGCTTCAATTATAGGACATACAAAATCCGGGACGTACAATGATTGACAATGTACATTTTGTAACATGCATAGGCTTATCACTTCTACAGAACGTTCTATAAAAGTGCTAAACCTATGCATGTTGTATGTACAATGTATGTCCCAAATTAAAGGTTGTGTTCATGTATATAAGGATGATACCCTGTCTATTGTTTGTACATGTTGTGTTAGGAAAAGATATACAACAGTCAAACTTAAGATGCAATGTTGACCAAACATTCAACAGAAACCGTGGTTTTGCGCAGCCAGATACAGTTCGTTCTACTGACTTCTGGTTTTCGGTACAGTGTAAAATGTGTGCTTATTTAAGTTATCTTTTTACAGTTCCCAGGAAGTCATAGATCACATGGAGAGGTACCTCCAGGCTGCCCGAGGCTTTGTGGTGGACAAGCAAGAGGTCATTGAACTTTTGGTCATCTACGTCCAATGCATGGAGGTTAGACAACCTTTTACCAAATACATTTCATCTCGCCACAAATGCCTGTTGATAATGGTTTTATTCATGATCACAGAGTTTATAAAATTATTATTATTGAATCATACAAAATACAGTGGACCTACAACTTCTCAAGACCATTACATATAGGTACATGTAATACATTGTACATATGTATGTTTGCACTACCAAAGCACACAAATTAATTCAGCTTACTAGAGAAAAAATCACAGGAAGATTTCTCAAAACTCAAATAAAATTTACTGGTTAAATATGGAATTAGTAACTGTTGCAATGGTTGCCAATAGCTTATGATTACTAAATATATTGCCTTGCATGTGGAAGTTTGATCCCTGGCCAAGTCATACCAAAGTTTTTTTAAAATGGTACAGAAATGCCAGCTTTCTCTGCTTAGCTCTCAGCATTTTGGAAGAGTATGACAGTTAAACAGCAGACGTGAGTGGACTAGCCTCCCAACTATTTGGCCCAAGGGCTACACAAACAGAGATGGATTGCCATATGCTCTGTGTAAATGGTTGGAGGTAGGACTTCAATGGTTAACATATAATTTTATTTTGTAACTTGAAACAATCATTATGTATAGATGAGTAGCAGTCCAAAATTTGCATGCAAGTTAACAATGATGACAAAAAGTTGAGCAAGTGACTCAGTCTCAGTCTTTTTTATGTTCTAACTTTACAGGACTCTTACAAGCAAGAAGCTGCCCAGTCCCATGACACAGAGACAGCTATGCTTGAAGTTGCTGTCTCCAAACTCCAGCAGGCTGGCAGGCAGGCACACCGGAACCCACCGGGCCTGTCCGTGGCCACACTGCTGTTCATCGCCAACATACGGTTTGGACTGTCCGTCGCTGCACAGCTCCTACATGAGTACCATGGGAGGAGGGCTCTCTCAGTGCAAGAGGAGAAGAGACTGGTGAAGAGGACACATTACAGGTAAAGTTTATCTGACTTGTCATCTGAAAGCAAACGTTATAAAATTGATCAGGGTACGTTAATAATAAAGTGACCACAACGTTATAAGAAGGATCGGGGTACGTTAAGAATAAAGTGACCACAACGTTAGAAGGTACGTTATAATTATACAACAACACTTGAGTTTTGAGGTGAGCAGTCAAAGTGTGCCCACGAGGAGGAAAAACCTGCGATATATGCTATGCTAATAACCCGCTGCGAATTGCTCGAAATAATGACAGGGAAACGGAACTGAGTATGGAAGTAAGGATTAGAATAAAGAATTGGACGGTAAAATTCAGAATTCACCAAAAGTGCACGAGGCAAGCGTTATTATACAGCGTTTTTTTTTTTTTACTTTTTGCTGTGTTGGCTGGGGCGGAGCTAAATTCTTTCCCCCGCATGCAAATGTGCAAATGATCCCCCATTGTTACAGTTGGCAAAAATTATTTACAGGGACTTTTCACGGTGGTTCAAAACGTCCTGCAAATCCCCACTCGTAGCTTATGTTAAAACATTTATGAAAATAAGATGTAAATCACACTTGTCACCATTGGCAACTGTCCATGATTTGTTGACAGTTTTGTGGGCCAGCTCTAGGAATTCGAATGTTTACCTTTCTGCATGCCCCCTGCGAATTTTTCCCGCCAACTGTTCTATTCATATGCGCACTTCTCCTGATCCTCAATTGTTTTAATTTCACACATTCTAACACGACATAGCGTGGGTGCAAGGTATGATCATTTTCTGGCCTGGTACATACACAGACTAACATGGTTCCTAACTCTGTGTAATTCAGTTGCGATCAAAACGTAAAAATACTCAGATAGCGGCGGCCATTAGGTTACCCTTGACCGGGCAAGCCAAAATCCTTGATGAGACTTAGACTACATGTTTCTAAAAACGCCTTTTTCTACAAAATAAAAAATAAACCCTGATTCGAACTGTAAAAATGATCTTGTTGTTTGAAAATATAACGATACAAAGTAATAAACGTTACATTACGAGTGCTATTTTGTAACACAGCCGACGTCGATATTTCCACTCTCCGTTGTTTTGATTTTGTTAGCCCCATCTTGGTTTCTGTATTTAATTTATTGTAAATTAGCGCATGAACCGCCAGTGTTTCTTGAACGCAACAAGTTTAGATCTTATAATTTTAGACTTCCCCTCGAGTTAACACTTATTCTGTAGTTGTCTTATTATTTCCTCTGGACGTTGTTTCCGAGATCGGCGACACTTCTTACGGGCAGGCAGAACATCGACAACAAGGACGAAACATTTCGGCTAGAATAATGCCGCAACAAGTTACTACACAAAGAAGAAAACTCTTTGACTGCTCAACTTTATTCTTAACGTATCCTGATCGATCTTATAACGTTGCGGTTCTAAGAATACCATCAAACTTTACGTTGCTGTTTGGATGTCGAGTGGACACTAACGTCGCCGTTCCAACGTTTGACGTCGAGCGGACATTAACATCGCCGTTCCAACATGCTTCATACATATTTCGTTTCATTTCGTTCCATTTCGTCCCATTTCATTCCATTTCGTTCCATTTCGTCCATTTCGTTCCATTTCGCACTTTCTGTACACCGCTTTTGATGTACCCATCAGGTTTCAACAAAATTTGGTCAGGTGATGTAAATATGAAATATCTAAACGATCACAACAAGAAAATTGTCAATCCCAGTATATTTGGGGTGAAAAACTCAAATTTTTGGTAAAAAATTTGATATTATGAAACAACTGTTTTGCAGAGTGATTTTTTGCGAAGTAATAGATAACATCTCTGTGATGTCTTGTACGAGCAGGCCTTTTGCCTATATACCAGAATAAGGCTGAAATTTGGGACTTTTCTCACAATTTTTAACATTTTTTGTACAAGAATCAATGCAGCAGACAAAATCAATGAAATTGCCACAAGGTCCGCACGTAGTTCAAAGGACATTTCAAGGCTATAAAGTTGAATCTGCACAAATTTCGTGAGAAAACTGGTATCCTTGTGTGGGCAGCAGCCTACGAAACACCACTTACTCTGGCCGGGGAGAGAGCGAGACCATCATATCTAGCCTGCTGGATATGATGTCATTATGTAATCCTACACCCCACGCTGACCAATCACTGCCCGCTATTCCAAATCAAAATGGCGGACGCCGGCTAACTCTGTTTATAAACTTGTACGTGTCATAGATTTTCTTGTCATCTCTCAGTCTACTGCAAACAATTATCTGCACGCTTCTCTCCCTATACTAGTAGTTTGAATGAATCATTGAATGACAAACACTGAGCTGGGCTGGTAAACTTTAATGAGCGAGAAAAACACGAGCTCAAATCACAAGGGTGAGGTGGGCGGGTGTGACTTGCCCCTGAGCGCGTGGCGACAGACTGAAGCCACGCGGTGACAGGGACCAGAGACCCGGCAGCTAATTACCCGCTGTGATCCCCGGGGGTTCCACAGACCCACAATTATCTGCACGCTTCTCTCCCTATACTAGTAGTTTGAATGAATCATTGAATGACAAACACTGAGCTGGGCTGGTAAACTTTAATGAGCGAGAAAAACACGAGCTCAAATCACCAGGACCAGACCCAGCGGGAGGCGAAGGGGAGAGGCGAGAGTAGGCGTGCAGAGAAGGGAGGTTTGGAAGCCCGGAGATCAGGTACTATCAAAGCAACAACTCGGAATTACAACAAGAAATATGAGTTTAACACTGCCTAACATACAGAAATTAAAAGTCAAAAAACGATATGCATGTACAAAACAATTCAAGCGTTAGTCTAGAGAACAAATGCTTGGTAATCCGATACTGAACGATACAAATAAACTGAAGAACAAGACTAACTCTAATACTAATAACTAAAACAAGATAAAGGCTGTAATGTCGTATGGCGGCGATCAGCGGGACAAGGGGGGTTTTGAGGCGGAGCTGGGGGGGCTCTGGCAGATGGAGTAGGAGATGTGTTTGCTGAAGGACCATCGCTGTTCCAGGGAGGAATCTAGGTAGACCTCGTAGGCGTCGGAGGACCAGTCGGCCCATAAAGTTTGATGGTCTGGGGTCCGCACCGCAGTGCCAGGCGAAGGTGGCGCCCCCGCGTCGGAAACTGTGCCCGGAGAATTTGTTGGAGGGGAAGCCCGCAGCTTGTAGTAAAGTCTTGAGGTGGGAAACGAGGGTGGAATGTGTGAGGGACACTAGACTGCCGTCGCTACCGGGGACGAGGAACGCGGGGGAATCACCCGAGGCGGGGAGGAGGTGAGTCATATGCAGGTAGGCCGCTCTCGGGCAGAGCGGATGTCCCGGTATGGCTGCCACCGGAAGTTGCAGAACCTTCTGTCGGAACTGCCGAGTCTTTGACCACGTGATCCGAACGATCAAGCCGTCTGGGGTGAGCTGAAGTGAAGCGCGAGTGAGATGTTTGTCAGCGGAGAAGGCCGCCCGCGAGGGAGGGACTAAGTTGGACTTGCGGAGTAGCGTGAAGAAACCTATGCAGAAGACCGCCCAGAGGGTCGCGTGTAATGGACGCCGAAGCTCCAGCAGAGACCTGATCGACAGTAGAATCTCCGGTGTGATGGGTAGCTTCTGTTGCGGAGTATGAGTAGAGTGCCTGGCTAAGGACATGAAGACCAGTTTAAGTTCAAAGGCGCTGTCGGGCGGCGGGGGAAAGTCGTAGAACAGGTGTAGTTGCCGTACTCCATGAACGTAGATTTTTACCGTGTTCGGGCTCTTGCACGATCTAGAGAGGAACAGCGCGTACCTTGCGAGAGTAGCAGATGTGGTGGGCAGCGCCGGAAGACCATAATATTCGCAGAAGAGAAGGAAAGAGCGCCACTGAGTCCGGAGATTGTTGTACGTCCCAGCGGAGAAGGCAGATGTCTTTGCAGCTGCCACCTGTTGATCCAACAGCCACAGTCCGGAGGCGGAGCCTGAAAAGGATCACAAGTGGGTCAATAGGGCAAAGTCAGTGGAGGCCACGGTCGCCTGAGTGACAGGTGTGCCGGCGGTCAAGTGTAGAAAGGCCTCGCGATGCGACGGGGAAGTATGCCAACGACTGAGATGATCGGCCAGCCGATTGTGGACGCCCGGGAGATGTACGGCCCGTATCTCGAACTGGTCCGTGGCAGCGCAGAGCCACAGGTTGCGGAGACAGGACTGTAGGAAAGGAGAACGACTGCGCCCGGAATTAAGGACCGTAACGGAAGCTTCGTTGTCGCACAACACCACAATGCGCATGCCGGACCAGTGTCTGCCCCACAAACGAGCGCACACCAAGATGGTGAGGAGTTCGAGTCCATTAATGCAGGGTTCCAACTCGAGGACCGAGGGCGGGAAGGTGGAGTGAAAGAACTCTCCCGTGGAATTGAGGAAACCACCGCAGCCCGTTAAGCAGGCGTCCGAACTGAAGACGGCGTCTGCCTCTGTCCAGCCGGACTGTGGGAGGAGAGAAATCCCGTTGTATGTTGGGAGGAAGGTGCGCCACCAGGCCAAGTCCCGGCGGAAGTCGTCGGTTATCCGCAGTTTCGTATGTCTGTCCGGAAACTGCTTTAGGAAGAGGAGCATGCGCGAGACGAACAACCTGCCCGGGCGGACGCACGACGCGATGAACTGCAACTTGCCGATAGGGACTCGATGTCCCGGCGGCGGGTGTGAACTTTCGAGCTCCACACGCGTAGTTCTTCCAACGTGTCCGTCAGACGCTCGGGAGTGACCTCGATAGTCATGCGGACTGAGTCGATGAGTCGGCCGAGAAAGACCAGACGGGTGGTCGGGGGAACGGCCTTGTCGTCAGCTTCTTGCAATCCCAACAATGCCAGCAGGTGACCGAGGTGTTCGAAGGCAGCAGGTGCACGAGCTGTGGTGTCCGCGCCGCCCAAGTCATCAAGATAGTTCACGCAGTCGTAGCCGAAGGTGCCGGAGATTAAAACGCACTGCGTCCGTTACCCGCTGACAGACTAAGGCCCCGGTACGAATGCCGAAAGGGTAGACGACGTCTGCGTAGCAAAGTCCTTTCCACTGAAAGCCAAGAAGGTTATAATCCGCGGGGTCAACGTAGATTTGCCGGTAGGCCCTGCGTAGGTCGCGTTTTTACAGCAGACAACCCGGTCCCAGGAGAACGACTATGGCTGACAGGTCATCCACGGAAGGATAACGCAAGTGCAGACGTTCGCCGAGGTAAGTGTCCGTGGGGATTCCTGCATTGACGGAAGAGGCGTCAGGAAAACTGAAGTCCACAACGATCCGCCTGCTATTGGAGTCCTTCTTCGGCACGGTCTGGAGAGGGTTGCAGACTAACGCCGGGTCGAAAAAATCCAAGGGCAACGGGCCGATGGTGGCTCCGTGACCCCGCTCCTTGGTGATGTAATCGGCGACGTGGGCACTATAGCGGACAGCTGACGCGTGATTTGTAGGCGGGACCACTGGTTGCTTTGTAGCGGTGTAATTCACAGGGAACCCGAATTCGATCAAGTCACATAAAGTCTCATCTTTGTAATCCACGAGAAGGTGACGCCAGGCGGGCACATTCAGTTTACTTGGGACCGGAATGCGGGCTCCTTTGTAATTGGGCAGACCCGAACGATGAACGGTGACGTGCCAGCGCTGGAAGTCCGACAGGCTGGGGGGAGGACCTGAACGATCGGAGAGCCCCCCCGTGGGGACTGGTAACATGGAGCTGGCGAGTGGCGCCCGCTGGTCGGGCCCGAGCCGAGTGCGAAGCCCCCCCGTGAGGGCTGGAGACGAATAGCCGGCGAGTTGCGTCTGCTGGTCAGATGCGAGCCGCGTGTGAAGCCCCCCCGTGAGGGCTGGAGATAGGGATCCGGCGAGGGGCGCCTGCTGACCAGGTGCGAGCCGGGTGCGAAGCCCCCCGGTGGGGGCTGGAGACAGGAAACTGACGGGCCGTGTGAGGTCCGCCAGGGAGGCGACAAGGGGGGAAACAAACAAACTGTCATCCCGCTGATGGCTACCATATGACAAAGCCCCCGCGGAGAGGGGCGAAAACTGGAGCTCACACTGATTACAAAAGCTGAGCGCCGTCTGTGGCGCGGGGAGCTCAACATGAATATCACTATCAATTAGCAACGTCGCCGGAGCGAACAACATCATCAACATCAACAACCGATAGCTCTGGAGCTCCCGCAAAATCTAACACAATATCTGAGTCTACTGCAATATAATTCTCTCTAACATCTGTGTCAACAACAAGTGCCATAGAAACGTCATTTGTGTCAACCGAAATTGTACATGTCTTGAAAACATCTGGGGTTACAGAGGCATCACTCGAGTGCGCGACAATGTCTTCGTTCAAAACAATATGCTTAGGTACCTCTAACTCTACGACCGTATCGGTGACGTCTGCGTACACCGTATCGTCAGTTACATGGAAATCCACAATCATATCTGTAGGAGGGGAAACCTGATCGGAGTGGACAATAAAACCAAGTACGCCTCGATGGCCGGGAAAAGGAACAGTGTTCTGACCTGTGCTGGTTGTATTATTTCTAAGGTTGAAATGTCCGTCGACAAGAGACTGTCCTGAGCTACTTACAGTTCGTGTTCGTGTGGGTCCCAGTCACTCCGATGTTTGTTTGTCGTCCTTTGTCTTCTTGTCTCCGAACTTCTTGCGGCGGCAGGTCGCGTCCGGATGGCGGAAACGTTGTCCTGTCTGCGCGAAGCAATGTCCGCAATAATGGTCGAAACGGCACGCGGTCGACTTGCACTCGTTCTTCTGGAAACTCCAGCACGGGCGCGCGTTGGTGGTCGACTGGAGAGAAGTCGTCGCGGCGGTGGTGTTCTTCAGTTTGCTGGCATCCCCATCGAAGTAGTATTCCTTGATGTCTTCCCAGTCCGTGTTCCACTCCGTGGAGACGCGCAGGGCGCGGGCGACGGCCGCGTGATGGAACGCCCTGACAACGGGCCAGCGATACCGGGCCAGCCGGTGGCATGTGTACTGTAACAGGGCTAAACGGCCCCTGAGTTCCCAGGCTGGCAAGGCTGGAGAGAGGAGCAGTCCCATACAGCCACTCAGGAATTCCTCAGCGGACAGGTCATCGTACTTCTTGTCGTCTGCTGAATCGCAGCTAAATACGAAGTGTTCTGGGGAGAGCATGCCGGAGGGCTTCTTCTTACCTGTAGGCTTGGCTTCCGCCGTCCGCTCGGTGGAGGCGAGCTCCGGGAACTTCTTGGTCACCTTGGCCAGCAACTCAGCGTCCTGCCGAAGGGTGTCCAAGGTTATGTCTCCCGGGCCCAGTTGGACCGCAGCTTGTTGTCCCGCGCCAGTCGTCGGCGGGACAGCTGTGCCGGGTGGGGGGAGTGGAGCCGGCGGGTCGTGGGGTGCCGTCTTCCCGGAGGCCGGCGGACCAGCGGCTGGGGGAACCGGAGCACCCGTACCTCCCGAGGAGGGGGGGAGAGCCGAGGGGGACTGCAGCAGCTGTAACTTCTTCTCGAGGGATTCTACCTCTCGTCGGAGCTCGGCCTCTTGGATGGCTGCTTCCAGTTCTTCCTTCCGTTTCTTGAGGTCCGCCATAGTGAGCGGGGCAGCGGGGGAATTCGTCTGGCCGGTACCTTTGCAGTCTGCGCCGGCCTGACCCGCCTTGTGAGAAGACAGAGCGTCTCCGCAGCCGGCACAACGGCGCGGTTTCTTGGGTGAACGCGGCATGGAGGGGCAGTAGAAAGTAGGAGATAGCTCGTCAATCGACTTGTGGAGGACGAACTGATTGTGTGACTTGCCCCTGAGCGCGTGGCGACAGACTGAAGCCACGCGGTGACAGGGACCAGAGACCCGGCAGCTAATTACCCGCTGTGATCCCCGGGGGTTCCACAGACCCACTTTTATACACTGGAAATAAAGAACATGTATGTAGCTACAAGTTCTGACTCAGAGGTAAAAAGTAATTCTCAATAAGGTCCAACAGATCACAAAAGCTTGGGGAGACCCTATACGTGGGACGACAAGTGTTGTCGATTTCACGCACTCGGCACTATGGGCGCGGCCCATGCCACATTTGTGAAGGAGACAACGTACAAACCATTTGATACAAATGTATAGAATGTAGTGAAATCTAAAATATGACTTACAAAACAATTTTGGACTTATATGTGTACACCTAAGATAGAATAAAATTCATGTTTAGTGCCATATACCATTGGCTTCTGTAACAGTGGGGGGTTTATAGGCGCTACCAACAGATTCGGCAAACGGGTCTAGACCTTTTAGCGGAGAGGTTAGAGTGTCTAACTGGGGCCCGGGAGATTGTGGGTTCGAACCTTGGCCCGGGACCAGTGGGGTTTTTACTGTCTCCTGTTTCTTACAGTGGTTCCCACACCGGCCCTGCGAGTTCTGGCAAAGAGTGCCGCTCCAGGGATGTCGAATTCGGAAGATTCGAGGACGGATCTTGAAAAGAAAAGGGGGAGTAGTGTAACAGTGGGGGGTTTATAGGCGCTACCAACAGATCCGGCAAACGGGTCTAGACCTTTTAGCGGTGAGGTTAGAGTGTCTGTAACAGGGGCCCGGGAGGTTGTGGGTTCGAACCCTGGCCCGGGATCAATGGGGTTTTTACGGCTCCTCCTGTTTCTTACACTTCTGTCACGGACATTGCGCGAATCCTTGCAGGACCCCCCCGAATCGCTACGTAGTGGAACAGTCCGAACCTCAGCAGGCGCATGGCTGAACAGAACACGTTCTGCAAAAACCGTCACATGACCTGAATTCAGACTGCGTGCCAGTTCATTTTGCCTCTTGTGTGAAGGAGGTACATTTATTAGCAACCTGATCATGAAGGTACAAAGAGGAAAGGATGAACATTAAAACATTTTGTCGCTTCCTAAAAGTAACAATCTTTATTTGTAATACTATGTAAATTGCATTGTAATGACTACCGAGTGATGTTTAATTGAATCAGATATAGTTGGCGCTTCCAACTGAAATACCCTCAACACCAACAGGCTGACCAAGAGGCTGCTGGACCAGGCCTGGCGGCTGTGTGAACAGCTGGAGTGGAGGTGGCCGCAGGTGTTCCTCCTGAAGCAGCTGTACCGTGGCTGTGGCCTGGACAGCCTGCTGAGTGTGACAGAACAGGCACAGCTGCATCAGCACCTGCAGTGGATCATCCCACCGGAGGCCAGGGGTGGGAAGGTTGGTGCAGATCAGTAACTTGTAAAAACAGAAATTTTTTAAAGCAAACTATATCAGAAATCTGAATAACATTCAGCTTTCAGATTTTATTCACTATGATGAATTTTTTATTGATTCGACAAAATTACAGGGACTTTCATATTGTCTACTACAACTAAGATCAAATTACAGTATAGCCTGTAATGGAGTGAAGGCCTGGGACATTTTGTAACTTTTAAGCTACTCACTTAAAAGACAGTCCAATATTTATGCCACGTCTAATATCAATGGATTGTCTTCAACTTCAAGTTGACATTTACAATGTAAATTTTGTAAACAACCCGCCGTACGTGCAAACTGTGTGCAAATGTGGGCAAACGTAGGACATCCGTGCGTGGTGAGTACCGCCTCCGTACGGAATCCTACGGATTTGGGAGCACGCAGACATGCCATAGAACTTTAAGTGCATGTAAAACTTTTTCTACGTGCGGTCCGCGGATTCACCACCCGTATGTATACGTGGAAGTAAGGGCAACGCGCGTGCCCCATACGTACCGTACATAAGACGCTCGGTGAGTACGGCCTCCTTACAGTAAAGTTGCTATCGCACAGAGATCGTACGTTGTAAGCAGGTACAACTCACCACTAATGCGCAACGAACGATGCACGAAACCGCTCACGGCCAGATGCAGACCACACTCTTACACCTTGCCCAACCGTTCGAGTGACGCCACTACCACGTTCTCAGAATAACATTATAGCAGACGTGGCCTCAAAAAAAAACATACGGACAAAAAGCATGCACGGCGGGTTGTGACCAGGGCTTAACATATTAACAGCATCCTGAGTCTCAAAGACACTCCTATCAGCATACAATGTACTCAGTCTGGTAGAATCGCAGGGTAGAATCAGAATCTCTACCCTGACATAAACATCAAAATTAATGATGTGTTTGATGGGTATCATGGACCAAGAAGCAGTTTGACAAACCACTGCCTATTTTCATGTGTCTAGGAGGAGATCATCCCAGATCGTTTCATCGTGTGTGGAGAGGACTACCGACAGCTGAGGGAAGAACTGGCCAAGTCCATGGTCAGTAAGAACATGGACGCTGTTAACGATGTCCTACAGGTTAGTCTTTTATCTATTGCATTGTTGAATGTTTGATGAATTTATGTCTTCTTTTTATGCAGTCAGCTGTTTTAAGCTGACCTGTGTACATCAGGTTGGTAAGACATTGAAGTCTTTTATTCAGCCGACGTTTCGGTGACCGTCTGTCACCTTCATCAGGGCAATGTGAACCAGTCAGAATTGCCCTGTAATGTACATGATTGTACATGACTTTGTACATCTACATAACTAAATGCAAAATTTTAGTGCGAGAGCATGCAAATTCTTCTATGCCTGCATACATTTTTCCAAACGCAGAAGTGTACAGTTTTCCAACTTTACGTTCAGAACTGAGTGATTGGTCATTAATTATCCTGATGAAGGCAACAGTGGTCGTCAAAAATTTATCTCTTTGTCCTTGTGTTGGAATAAAGTGGCAACATTGCAATTGTACAATCATTATGATTGCAACCAACACAGAGGAACTTTCACAATAAGTAAAGAGACTCTTTTTACACAACCATGCAAGTCTTGTCAGCCGATGTTCGGTGACCGTCTGTCACCTTCCTCAGGGAATCCTGACTGGTTCACATTGCCCTGAAGAAGGTGACAGACGGTCACCAAAATGTTGGCTGAATAAAAGACTTGGTTGTGTAAAAATAGTCTCTTTACTCAATGTGTTACCAACCTGATGAAACTATTCACGGAACTTTCACAATTGTTTTCCAACTTGTGTACCAAATCTATTTCCGAATTTGTAACTTTCCTGTAATACACTTGTACTTCTGACACGCTAATGAAGCGCCTGTTTTCGGGGTTTTGTTAGGCTATGAACATTCCCGTGAACGTGCGAGAAGTTGAGCTCCTGCTGGCGTTGTACCGGGAGGTCACGGTTTCCCGAGCCAACACCAACCAGGCCCGCCATCCATCCCAGGATTACATCACAGTCTCCCACCAGTACCTGCACAACTCTCCTGTCCTAGCCAACAAGCAGCTCGCTATGGAACTGCTGACAAACAACCAGGTGAGTACATTGTACACAATGTAGAAGAACACACCAGCGATGTTTTTTAAATTATCCATTGAAGAGGTTGTAATATGTAAATGACCATGTGGAAAGACTTGTTATAGAGATTATGCATATATTTGCGCATTAGGTAGGCACTGATTGGTTGGTGAGAGCAACCAATCAGGTTAGGGACTATTGTGAACAGAGTTGAGCTTGGAATAGACAATCGCTGTGTAAGTTAGTTCGAGACCTGGATCCGAGGTATGTGTACATGTTTAGTTGTAGCTCTGTTTTAAAGTAGATTGTATAACTGTAGTACCTCATCTGTATAACTCTAGATCATTGGTAATTATCCGTGTAACTAGTGCTAAACTCCGTTGTAACCATTAGACCACATCTACCTGTATTAGAGTTAACATACGGATCAATAAACCCGGCTCAGCAGAAGTAATTGAACTGTTTGGATCTCTCTTTACATAGTAATTTATATATATAGACGCTAGATACCAAACGACCACTAGACCTCAAATATTACAAGGTTCTCAATATACATTTGAATTTACTTAGACCTTATGACATTTTTAGAAATAGAAGTGATGCTAAATTTGTTTTAAATGTCAGACTGAAGTTGAAATTTGACATGAATCGAAAGATTCATATATAATACGAATCTAAGATGATATATGAAATAGCATTATATTATGTTAACCTTCACAGAAGGAAAGATTGTCTTTGCTCAATTTCATTTTCTTCTTTAAACACATAACTAAAGGTCAATGACATGGACCAGACAGCTGTCACAATTATCATAGCAACTGGTACAGTAGCAGACACCCTGAGGTGTTTGATTACATGTACAATGTACACGACACGTCATTATGTAGCAAATTGGAGGGGCTGGTCACACATTATTGTGAATATGAATTTTAGTTAGAATAAATAGAGTTTTTTTGTAGTTGCAGATTGTTGGGCTAGACCATGTGAAGACCATGCAGTTGCTTGGTATATGTACATGTATGACTTTATTTGTTAACTTTCTTGTTGTTCCAGTGGTATATACTTTTCCCCTGTATTCTCCTAGGGTGGTGGTAACCTTACCCTTACAGTGACACCAAACCAGCCGCCCATCCAGAGGACCCTGTCTGCACTGGTGATCCACACTGCTGCTGTTCTGGGTACAGGTGTGGGAGGACTTCTACTGCCACTCCAGACCCTCCTACAGAACCCACAGAACCACGCTGTAGGTTTTATCAGAGAGTGTTCAATAAGGAGTTATTTAATAGTTACTGTAGTAATGCTCAGAATCATTTTGCATGTACACTGTAACTCTACCACAGATCTTTCATGCACTGCTGTAAGTACTGCATGGTATACAGTTTTTGTTTTCCAGCCAAATTTAGATAATATGTATAGCAAGGTGATAAGATTTGATACTGATGCTCAGAGGGAGGAACAGACTAGCAAAATCAAACTGCTAAAATTCAATGCATTCAATGTAAATTCATAATTTATGTATATTATGAGTGATTGTTGGATTGGTCATAATATATTGTGCTTGTTTTGACCATTCTCTGTGGTTTTTGACTATTAATAATCATTATCCAATTTTTTGCTTGAGTTTTTTGGCATATCTTATCACTAATATTAGGCCAAGGAAAAAAAACAAACTGTGTTTCCTGTTTCCCGACTGACCCTAGAAAAAACTGCAAACCCTAGCCTTTTTTTTGTGTGGACACCTGCAAGGGACATAAATTTTTTGAGCTGATCAACCTTTTCTAGCTCCATGATGTGACACCTGACTGATGAAACGTTGTACAATCAGTTTTCCAACAGTGACATTGAAAATATAGTTGCCTTGAAGTTCATGCAAATTTTACATTCATTTTGTTAAACTGTATTGTATGAGTTAGATCACTAGAGATTGCCAAAGTGTGGTAAGGCCACACCAATTTAATTTGTTGGTTCTCGGATTCGCCTCTTCATTTATTTCTGATTTGCAAAAAAAAAAAAAGATTCTGGTTCCGAATCAACTAAAAAATGCTCATATTTTGCCCCCAACAGTTGAGGAAATTCCTTTTCTTCCTAGTTGTTACAGTTTTTTCCATCTATCAATGCAGTGGTTTGATTTAAAGTTCAAAATTTATACTTTAAATTTTAACCCAGCCTTTTTTGTTGACTTCATGGCTCATATTGTAGCATTTGGGGCTATAATAGGATGCCCAGACCTGTTTTTATTTTTATTTTTTTTCGCCCTGTCGCTTCATATTTTTTCTGAAAAAATCCGAGAACCAACAAATTAAATTGGTGTGGCCTAACAAAGAAAAAAAGATAATCCCTACCTACCGACCCAAATTTTTTCATGACTGCAACAGGAAACACAACATTTTTTCCCCTAGGTTTACCTGGACGTCTAACCTAAATCTTTCCTCATTTCAGGGTTCCTACTTCCCAACTATGCCAGAGGACGTGTTGATGGAGGCACGTCAGGCACTAGCAGAGCATGAAGCACAGCTGCTTCGCTGGTTCCAGTGTGTGAATGGACACCCTTACGCCATCGGGGAGTGCGGTCAGCCCATGGAGCAAAGCCGCTGTCCTGACTGTGGGGCGGCCATTGGAGGGATTAACTACCGTCCTGTTCAGGGAATGCAGGCTGCCAGAAAGTGAGAATTAACACTTAATGTATTTCAAATTGCTGACATATTCTAGTATGGCTTTATTAGCGAACAGTGGTGTCCAATGGCAGACACAAGATTGAGACTGGTCATCATGGCTTCGATTACTTTGCCTTATCAGCTAGAGATTGTGTCCTAGGGAAGAGCACTGCATAACTTTCCTTAATGCACCCAGGTACATTACCGGTACAATGTTTACCCGACTTTGGTTGGAGGGATAAAAGAAGGAAGGAGAGGGATAGGCTCTGCCTTCCAATACCATGCCTTAGACACAGTGGTATGGTCGTGGTATGCATGGTCACACAGAAAATAGGATACAATGACCCCAACTAGACAGGACTGGTAAATGAGAGTTGCTGGTCCATTTTCTTTTTTTGGATAAAGTGACACTTTTTATTGCATCATTGTTTCAGTCTGTAGAATGATGATAAATCAGCTTCAGCATGTTTACTGAATCACTGAACTCTTTTTTAAATTTGCTTCTACTTTCCTGATTTCTTCAGCAATGACACCACCAGACCTGGTCACATCCTGGGCCCTGCAGCCAACAGGCCGGCTGTGCCCATCTCTGAGCGAGCCTTGTCCGTAGTGGCCACCTGTGTGGTCAGACTGGTCATGCATGCAGCCATGGTCAAGGCAGCTACCCACAATCCTCAGGTAGGACAGTCATTGTGTCATTCCTTCCTGTTTTATTGATAAGTGAGGCAATATGTCTGCCAATTGTGTGAATGACAGCAATTTCCTGTTTATGACTGATTTTTCACGATTTTTGTTGGATGTTTGGACGTTGCATCAAAGCTTTGCCCTTTTCAATCAATATCTTTTCCAACACAACATTTGTGGGAAATACTTTAACAGAACATCTTTGTTATTAGGTTGTATTTTCATGTTTGAGGATGACATCCTGTCTACAGTTTTCAAATAATGTCAGAAAAGATACCATCTGCCAATGCAACGTTGACCAAACACCAAAGAAAGCCATGAAAATTCCAGGTTTTGCGCAGATAGTACGTTCTGCCAAAGTTCTCTATTCAGCCAATAGGAGACTGGTGATGGGGATAGTCACTTTTCTGCAACATTCCTACCATCATATTTTTACCCTCCATGTTTTTTAGGGTGTTGCGAATGTGATCGACCCCAGACCGCCCAATCCCTCACAGTTCCTGTGGCAGCACCTTGAACTCGACCTTCAGCAGCTGGGCCGTGCCCTTGGCAGGAGTGCAGACGATGCCGCTCTGTTCATGCACCTCATTCTGCACGACCTTCTCACACCGGAGGCACAAGGTAAGGAGGACAAAACTTCAAACATGTCCTGAACTAATCTCAACTTTCAGCACTGTATAACACTGTATAACAAATATTCGATTCTTCTTGCATTGAATTATGTTGTACTGACATTTGGTTAATTTTCAAATTCAGATTTTCAAGTTTTGATCATTTACTATAGGTACAATAGGTACAAAGCACTGTTACAGTACTAAAATATTATGCTAGCATAATATTTTAGTGCAGTGCTTTGTGACATCCAAATTATTGGTAAATAGATATCTTCAATCTACATCAAATTCTTAATACATGTACTTAGTAATATATATGTTCTTTTTGTACTGTTGAATAGTAACTCATTTGCAATGAGGTTGATACATTGTAACGTCCCATATCCTTCTTTTAAGTTTTTCCTACAGTAAAACAGCAATTATAGCAGAACTGTCATGATGATAGCAGACCAAATCTTGAACCTAACTACATGTATTGAGTAGTAACACGTTACCGGGTAGTTGGATTACTAGATGAGCATGTGGAGATTTCAGCTTGCACCAGTTACTAAATGAATAATAGGTTACTGATTGAGTTGGTCATGACCGATTTATATAGCAGGTCATGTTCCCTGTGACGTATTAAGTCAGTCATGTAGGCCGCCATATTGTTTGGTGTTGTCAACAGTCATTGTTAGTAAAGGCTTCACTTTTTGTACTGTTGAATACAGTGTCATACATTTCATCATCATCATCGGTCGACCGTATTGGTCGGGGTTATACCGCCCCTTACGAGGCGACATACCCTTTCGTTAGCTTAATACAAGACGGGGTTTGCCACGCCTCCGTCCGGGTGATGATGTAATCACCATGTGTGGTGATGTAATCACCATGGCTGATACGGAACAGAGGTTCGCCAGGCCTCCATTCGGGTGATTTGAAGTGAATCACCAACTCCATTCAGTAGTGTTTGTTCCATCGCACACCGGGGCATGCCCCTACTCTTTTTCGAAAGGTGTGGTGGGTTCTTTAACGTGCGTGGGGTGTGGCTCTCCCCAAACACGGGACCTCCATTTAACGTCCGAGGGACGTCCCTGGCCGAAGCTAGGTACTCATTTCCACCTGAGTGAAGTGGGGAAAGTCGTGTAAAGTGCCTTTCCCAAGGGCACAAGATCGGTGACAAGGTGGGGTTCGAACCCACGACCTCTGGGGTGTGAGCCGAACGCGCTACCGATTGCGCCACACGACCCCACTAGTAACATGTTAGTAGTAACATGTAGTAGTTGTACATTTAGTAGTTGAAGCAAGTACATTTAGTAGTTGAAGCAAGTACACTGTACTACATGTAAGTTATATCTGACAGTGTGTACAATGCAGAACTTAATATCAACACAAGGGTACACAAGGATTAAATTTTCAGTGCTGAAACTTGTACCGTATTCTAGTGGAAATATTATGCACTTCACTCATCCTTCCTTGTTACTTTAAAATTTATGTTTGAAACATCCAGTTGGCATTATGATAACTGTTAACCAGTACCAGTAGTAACTACTGTATATTGTGTTATAAAGTAACTATAGTGTAGAAGTTCATTTTGTACCAGTAGTACCTTATATTGTCGCTTGTTACACCACATCAGCGGCTGCAGGTGACTGGTCCTCCAAGGCAAGCCGGAGGCAGTGGGAGGAAGCCTTCATGGTCAGATGTGTCAACCCCATCCTACACCAAGTAAGGATCCGATAAACATTTTTGGGGCTGTACAGCTGGCCTCCTTCAACTTCTTAGTAATATATAATTTCGTTTTATATATTATTAAGTTATTTTAAGAAAATGACAGATTATTTTTGGAGAAATCACACAAGACACTGTTCTTGAAATTGACATATTTGCAATGAGGTTAATACATTGTAACGTCCCATATCCTTCTTTTAAGTTTTTCCTACAGTAAAACAGCAATTATAGCAGAACTGTCATGATGATAGCAGACCAAATCTTGAACCTAACTACATGTATTGAGTAGTAACATATTAGTTGGATTACTATATATATTTGAGCATGTGGAGATTTCAGCCTGCACCAGTTGGTTAATGAATAATAGGTTACTGATCGAGTTGGTCATGACCGATTTATATAGCAGGTCATGTGTCCACGTAGTCGGTCATGTAGGCCGCCATATTGTTACTCTGTGAAGGAGGTCAGGACCTCCAAACGGAGTGTTGTGAAGAGCCGTTTTTTCGTGTTCGCAGTCAAAACACTGGGTTCTCTTTGTGTAATCGGCACGCAATTTTATACGCCGTCTGCGGGCATGCCCGTGTTGATGCACGAATGTGTATTTTTGCCGTTGCTGCTTTCGCGGTCAATGTAATATTGCAGATGCACCCCTACAATTATGAGGCAAATTGGAATGGTCCAGAAAAACGCGTTGTTTGGAATAGCAGTGGGGGAGGGGTGGAACTTCATGCAGATATGGTGAGGGGCCGATAAGTGGTTCCAGATGTTTTTGCCCGTGCTTAAGAGGTGGTAAGTTTTTTGGAAGATGTTCGCAGCCAAAATGCATTCTTCCGTACGTAGCATTTCTGTGTAATTGGGCATGTGGTGTGCCATTATGTCCGTGATGATGCACGTCTTTTTATTTTCACTGTAGCAGTTTTGATATAAGTAAATGCATATTTTAGAATCATCCCTACTTTTACATCCCTGTGGAATAGGCCGTAGGTTTAGGCAGTTGTCTGGTAGCAGAGGTTCTCTAAGCAGATATTAGGTGGCTGTTGTGCATAATGGTGGCGAGTATTTTTTTAAATTGTGGTTTGCACCTACTGCGATACCTTGTCAAATGAATAATATTTAAATTAGTAAATGAAAGATATTGTTATGAAAGCAGACTTTGTTCATCTATTTAGATTGTCGTGCTGTTGCTTTTATGTAGCCTGTGTTTAGACTAGTTAGTCTGCAACTGTTTCCCCAAGGGGGGGCAAACCTCTGGGCAGGCGGTAGTTACACTCGCGGTGCTGGCCGCAACTGTTGCCTGGCCAGTCGCGCTTAATAGCATTAGTAACAGGAACGGTAAGACGGTGGGACTGTCTTTGTTACTAGTGCCACGACCATGATAGTCCGATCTTTATGTGAATGCAATGATTGTGTGTGTGTAATTAAAATGAACTTCGAACTTGAAGCACAGTATCTTTACACGCCCTGGGAGCAGTAATGGATTTAGGTCTTTTTATGTTTTATGGTTGTGACGCACCCTCATTGTATTAACCGTTGCCTAATGTCTGCACAGTAGGTCTGGCGTTGACGCTTGGGTATGTTTTTGTTGCAATACATAAAACTTCACGGAGGATTGTTGCCTATGGCTTCTTGTTTGGTGTTGTTAACAGTCATTGTTAGTAAGGCTTCACAGTTTTCTCCTCACTCAGTAGTCTTGAGTCGTCAATAACTGGCATTGGCATTATGATAGAAGGTTTTATAGACCAAGGAAATGTCCATGATATCTACATTGTATGACCAGTCCTCCAAATTAGCTTTTCTTCCTATTGTCCCAGCACTGTCCCAAGAATAAATTCAACTGTCCCAAAGTGAGGAGGAATAACCTGTTTTGTGGGAAGTATTGTATGACAATATTATTCAACTTGAAGTCAACTTTATTTTGCTTACGTTCACTCCCAGGCGCACTATAATTCCAGACAGGAAATTCAGCCCGGGACTTTGCTGGATTCAAAAGCTGGGACGTATGCCTGATATTAAACAAAAGAAGGGTTGATATTTTGATATTGACTATTTTTCTATTGTCCCAAAAATGTCCCAAAGAGTCTTTTTAGTTTTCAGTTGTCATAGCCTAAATTTTAGTGGTCAGTGGCCATTGAACCTTTAATCTTGAGCCCTTTATGACAAGTATATGCTGACTCTTGCCTTGTGCTGTGTAGGGTCTAGACGCCCTGCTGCAGCAGACTAACGCAGCGCTACACACCGACGACCGGCTCAGTAACAACCCGCTGCTGCAACTGCTGTGTGAGGTGGTGACTCCCCGGGACAGGCTGGACCTGGACAGGCTGGCGGACCTGCCGGAGATGTGGAGACACCGGCCACAGATCAACCTGGAGAGTCTGACTCAAACAATGGCAGAGAACCAGCTGCAGCTGCCTGTGCTGGAGAAGTTCCTTGCTGAGGTACACCTAATATTATATACCTGAGTGTATTCTGTTATACCTATGTACAACATGGTGTATTTCATATCACCCAAGGAACCAACTGGATTGGTAGGTTGTATCACACAACAGCCAAAGGCCAGAGGGAGATTTGACGTGCGGGAGTGCTGGGACCAATATGAGTATGATGTTGTGCATGTGTTGTATATGTGTTTTTGTATGGGGGAGGGCAACTTGTAAAGGTGCGTATGCACCTGTTTTGTCCTCCCTTTCACTTCATGAAAAAAACATGATAAACAAATAAACCAAGGGTCAGAATACATGTACTTCTTGTTCTATTCTATTTATGTCACACCCAGGAGTCCCGAGAACACACACATTTCATTGGCAATTGTTCCAGAAGTTGCAAAAATTTGGTATCTGAAAGCAACTCATTGACTGATCAAAACAACAATGAAAAATAGGGAAGATGTACCCGCCCGCAAGTGGTGCACTTTGTAAGAAGACAAATATGAGTAAAACGGAGCACAGGTAACTAAGGCTAGACATAGTGCAATCTGAAGTCCCAAATTCTGATATGCTATAATTCGTACTGGCTGTTCATACAGAGTGGACTGACCTAACAGCCAATAGGAAGCATCTACGAGGGTACAGCAGCACCACTCTCTGTCACTTCTTGAAAAAGACAAATTAAAGTCAAAACCTGTTTAACTTAAATATCCAAGTCTTTTAAACTGTCACCCTTCACTCCCTCATGGATAAGTCTGACCATCTCTCTTTTCTTCACATTGGATGTAGAAAGAGGTACTGGAGGCCATGAGACACCTGCCAGACATCCTCCGTCTACAGAAGCTGCTCATCACACAGTATCAGGGACACATTGATGTAGCCGAGGCAATGTCCATCAAGGTCAGCGACTTCCTCAACAAACAGCCTGAAGGTGAGGTCATCAGCTGAGCTGAAACATAAATGTATTAATCTTATAGATAACATACTCCATGATAAAACATCATAATTTGTAAAATAAAGACACTAGACTTAAGTATTACTGACGTGTGTGCAGTATTACACACCAGACTTGGCCGGCCCACTATGCCTGGTATGATCTGAATAAACTCTGTGTATCAGCAACAGGTTTTAACACTTACATGTACTAAGTCTAGATGTAAAATAACTTTTGGTTGTTCTTATTCATAGAAAGTGTGAAAAAGCATACATTATCCTTAAATCAAGCATTATCCTTAAATCTTATACGAGATGAAAATTACATGTGCCATACATTTTGTGCACATAGTGTCCCACACTGGGGTAATGTAGAATGGTTTAGTAGGCTAGGGGACACAACATTTACATGTATATAGAGGTTGTGAGTTCGATCCCTTTCATTCCTAGCTATATATATAGATGTTGTGTCCTTGGGACTTGACACAACTTTCCTCACTCCGTCATCATCCAGGTATAAAATGGGTAGTACTACCTGACTTCATTTGGGCAGATAAATGGCAGTAGAAGGAGAGGGATAGGCTCCACTTTCCAATACCGTCCCCTAGACACGGAGGCTCAACAACCCACTGCCCCTACAGCCTCAAAAAGGCTACAGGACTACCTTACAGGCTGCATTTTGCATTAACAGTCCCGTTCCCCCTCCCCAGGTGCTGTGTACGAGGAGTTCCGCCAGCTGGTGGAAAGTTTCCGTCTAACCTGGAACCTGATACGCCACCTGCTGGCCAGAACCAGTAAGTGCAGGACTGACATACGTCTACATGTAGCAGAACATTTGGGTAGAAGTGATGTCAAATGGTGAAATGTTAGTGGCGTCAATTTGCCCAGTGGTTATAGGCTAGCAGACAAGAGACTGAGAGGTCACAGGTTCAACTCATTGCATTCATGGCTTGACGTTGTGTCCTTTGGAAAGACATGATAAGTGTCTATCTCATATGATTTTAGAGTTCATGAACCACAACCAAAGTCTTCTTTATACATGTACCTGCCAGAAGAATGTTTCGTTAGTCCTTCTGCTACTTCATCACGATCAAGACATATAATATATCATGTATAGATAATATTTCATCAGATTACTGACAGAAACATTTTGCTTAAGATATTCAAAGACCAATCAACCTCTACTAGTGGATAAACTCTATCAGTAGTAGAGTTTGATTTGCCTAATAATTATATAATAGTATGAATATTGTTTAATACCTGGATGTCTAACCTTCATCAACGTATCAGATTGTGGTTCAAGAACTATCTGTTGTTTTACTATTATCTTAAACCATTTTACCGAATGTCTGACTTGTTTTCACACATCCTCAGCATCTCAGGCAGTGCCAAGGGAACTGTGTCAAACGACTTTTGACCCTGTGAGAACCAGCCTGTACCATCTCCTCCCCATCAAGAGAACAGTCGTGCCAACCTCCTGCTCCACAGCGCTGGTGCTGTTCCTGGCCAGCGCACACAACAGCTTTGTACTGGAGACACAGGGCCATGCAGCAGCACAGAGCTCTAGGTATGAACCTATACATTGTACAGTCATGTAGGTGTCTCAAGGAATGTGCTCAGTGCACTAGACTAAGAGAGTACTGAAATAAAATAGGATTAATGGAACAGGATCTGTCAATCCCTGACGCACTGAAAGTGAGGAATGTTGCTGCTATACTTTCATGAAGACATTCTTTCTACATTGTATTTCATTTGTACAAGTCATTCAGACACTAAATATCTTTCATCTGTGTATTCAAAGGAAAAACAGTTGCTGGTCTTTGTGTAAGTAAATTGTATAATAAGTCTTGTATTCCCAATGTGTACTATGTATTCACAGCAGTAGCAGTGATGTGGACCTAGCCCATATTCTGACCTGTCAACCTGACCAGGACCTGCTGCCCCTGGTGCTGTGTGTGTTACATGTGTGTTACATGACTGTGTGTTACATGACTGTGTGTTACATGACTGTGTGTTACATGACTGTGTGTTACATGACTTTGTTACATGTTTGTTACATGCATGCTTGTCTATCTCTCCTCAGTACCAGTAGATCTGTCCTGCTGAGTGATGTGAACACGGCCCATGTGGTGTGCTGTCACCCTGACCAGGACCTGCTGCCCCTGGTGCTGTCCCACTGCTGTTACTCGCTGGCGGTGGGGGAGGGCAGCAGGGTGGAGTACGACCTCCCCGCGCTGGAGAGACAGCTGGTGGAACGCTTCGTCTCGGGAAAACCCTGGATCAACGATGAGGTGGGGATCTTTTACCTTTTGCAAATTTGAAACTTTCTCAGAAAGTTGTGATATAGGAATACACTAATTATACTGGGTACGACATTGACTGATAACGTTTCAAAACCTGCTATAATAATAACTAGACTAAGTAAACATGATTTTGTGTTGTTACAAAATTAATGTGCATGTCTATTGTTATTTATAGAAATGTTTTCTTGCCCTTTTTCAGTTTGAAACATTTGTCTTCAGACAAGAGACCAAGAATGTTGCTATGTACAAGAGCTTGAGAGACAAGATTCCACAGGTATGGTCAACAAAGGATGTGGAAAGCAATTATGAATTTCAGTGTAGGCTTGTGATCTGTGAGTACATGTACATGTACATGACTGATTGTACACAAAATGACTATTATAACCTACTCTGATGGACATCCCAACTACAAAGTATCTGAAACCAGCTACAAAAAAGAACATCAAGAAATTGTCATGCTTAGTACCAGATTTACCAAAAAAAGGGATTGAGGTGTTCAAAAACTGTTTTTTCCCAATAACTGGAGTACTCACTGCCATCAAGTACAGGAGCATCATCCCTAGATACATGTAGCTTTAAACGTTTTACAGTTAGATGTGCCAAGGTTAGGTGTAACAGGTTTGGTGTATAGCCAGCTGCCACTGTGCCGCGTGCCTTAGAAGCTGAATATCGGCTATACAGAATACAGATACTGGTGGAATGTCATGTACATGATGTACAGCTTCCTGGAAGCCAGGATATTTTTTCAATTTGCCTTTTTGGTTCGCATTCCTTCAGGAGCCTCTATCCAAAGCTGTTCAGATGCACATCCTTCAAGAGCTGGGGACTCTCACCAACGTTTGCTCCTCTCTGGCTGCTGTGGACATTGCCTTGATCTTCCTGGCAACTACTGGAGGAGACCCCAGCACCCCTATAAGGGAGTACTTACACAGAGTGTTGAAAATGTATGCGACTGCTGGCTTGCACAGCGTGAAGGTCAGTCCAACACTCATGACTTCAATGTCACAGAATTCTTGCATGTTTTCTCTCCGTATTAAGTTAACTTCCTTGTTACCTCTGTTAATGCATGATGACTGAATTGTAAAATTAATTCTTATTTTATGTTGTTTATTGTCCAGTTACCAGGGCTAGCCCTCAATAGTATAACAGCCTCTGGCTAGTTGGGCAGTCCTGGCTGAATGGCATTCTTTACAGTCTGATAAATAAATTCAAATTGAATCTGCTCAAAGTTGTGGCAAGAGCAATTCTTCATGTAGCATGTTGTGAATATCTTCAGTGTATTCTAAACCTTGTGTTTACTGGGAATTTGTGGCTATAGTGACTCTTAATGTAGCATGTAGTGACTATCTTTAATGTATTCCAATTTTCACGTGGTGTTGTGTTAAAAATATGCTTGTTTATAATTTTTATAATGTTAATGAACAACTCTGATTCTCCAGGCCAACCAGCACTGTCGTCTCAAACACATCCTGTCTCTGTGGCAACTGTTGGCCGTGCAGCGAGCAAGGATGTCCCTGGAAAATGGTCAGGTAGGCACAGGGCATTTTCTCACTCAGGGGCTTTCATCCAGTAATGTTTTATCAGACTGTAACTATTTTACTGACTTTTCCTGATACTTAACTATCTGAAACAAATGCTTGTGCTCGATGATCTGTTTCAACATTATACACAGACTCTTTGGTATGATGAACTACAAAATAAAAATGCAACATATCGGTAAATCATAAAATTCTACCTCCTAAAAAGTAATAGTTGATAAAAGTAAATCTACAAAATGTATGATAGCCCATCACAATCATTAAGCTGCTATTAGGATGCAATGTAATTGACTTTTAACCACTAGTACTACATGTACATGTGCCACTGTAAGAACATGAACATGTAAGTCTAAATAGATATACATGACGTACAGAAATATGAAGTTAGATAAACCACATCTTTCCCAACAGGATCCATTTGAGGATATGCCTCAGCAGTATGGGGAGAAACTGGACAAGTCTGAAGCCAGGACGCTGAAGGAGGCCTTGAGACACGTCAATGTTGACAGTCTGCTGGCTGAGCTGTATGAACTCATCACTGTCGCAGAAGAACAAACCAGGCACCCGGAGTGGAGGTAAACTTGACTTACACTCACTTATTTAGAATTGTCAGACAACTTTTAACATGTAAAAGTCTTCGAGGCAAAGGGCTAATAGTGAAGGCAGGCCTAATTTATTGTTTCCAACAGTAGTTTCATCAGGTTTAAGTGTAGGATATTATTAGGGTTTTCTTTTACACAACCAAATATTCGTACCTTGCTTATGTTTTGGTGTCACAGCTTCCTCACAGCTTCTGACTGGAGTTCTGCTTCTCATATGTACATAGTGTAGCCGATGTATAGTTTATTACGTAGGTGGTGCTTTTGCGTCAAGAACAGTTGATAGACACCGAAACATAAGCAAGGTACAAATAATTGATTGTGCAGAAGAAAACCGTTATATCCTAAATTATTGTTGATAGATGGTAGCACATGTTGCTTTGCAGGCTGATGCATTGTGGTTGTTTTACATGTAGTTCCGTGAATTATTTCCTCAGGATGGTGAATGATTGAATGGCAAAGTTCTTTATTCACAACCACTTGTTTAACAAGAGCCATCATTTTTATGACTGTCATTGTCATCTTATCTCACTGATGAGCTGCATATCTACCTTTTTGTTGTAACAATATCTGTGAATGTCACAATTACTTAACGTTTAGACCTGCATTGTTAGTAGAAACACCTAGCTTCAGTTCACAGTCAACCAGTCATAACTGCCTTGATGAAGATGACAGACGATCATCAAAACATCGGCTCTTGTTAGACAAGTGGTTGTGAATAAAGAGCTTTGCCATTGAATGTTGTCTTGTCTGGATGTTTATTGTATGGATGGTTGGCCCTCATGTTAAAAAAATAAAAAGAAATGCCAACTAGTACTGTGACTAAGTAGTCTTGCTGATTTATTTATGGTCTTGTATACGGGTCAATTCTTTTGTACCCATTGCATGTGTCTGTCTGTCTAATTATAGGCCTTATCAAAGTCACTATACTTTTGTTGTATCTTCTTCTTGGTTACCCCCAAATAACCAATCAAGTTGAGTGTCAATAAAGTTATTTTGTAAAGACACACAACATCACACATCAAAGAGTCGTCTTTTCCCTTCCTCTCTTTACACAGCATGATGGCTACCCTGAGGGCTTACATTGATGACAAGAACGCTCCTGAAGTGGAAGGGCTTGACGAACACTTCCCACCGACCATCCTGATGAAGCATGCCTACTACACGTGGAGGATGGTGGCAATGTACAGGCCACACGAGGAACAAGAGACATCAAAGAGAGGCGCAAACAGACTGAGACTCTGAAAGACCAAATTTACTCCACAGAGACCATGATTGTATATATTGTCACTAAAGCTATTGCTGGATCTATAGAACTGTAATTGTTTGTTTACAGCTATGTCAAATTATGAGTGACAATTTGTTGTGCAGCGATGCCACATATAACATTATATGATATAGATGATTTACATGAAATATATGGAATTGAATATGTTTGCTCTGAAGACCAGTACATGTACATACTACATGTATTAACTAGAAGGAGAAGAATGTTAGTTGGTTCAAATAAGGATACATGTAATGTTACATCCTTACAGACTGTTGAAAAGATAGCACATGTAGTACATGTAGTACTGTTAGTTATGCAGATTATGTTAATGTAAGGTGTGTTACATAAAATTATCAGGCCAGTTTGAGAGTATAACTACATGTAGGTTATGCTTACTTATGGTTGGCCTGGTTTTGGAGTGAGATGTGTACATGTACAATGTTTGTGTGTAGCATGTACATGTTGAACATTAGTATGAATTGGACACAAGAACAATCACCAAAACATGAGGAAATATGAATGGACATTCCATAAAGTTTAGGGATTCGCAACCTACAAGTTACTTTTCTTACTATTAAATATGAATAATGCTTGTAGATGGCTTGTAATTCTAGAGATGTTTGTTTGGTAAGCTAAGGATGATTAGCTAATAAGAGCACTGATGAAGCGATGTTACAAATTCGTTAATGTTTTAGGATAAAGTGTTTATATGCTTCTTTCTTTCTGTCTTTTTGTTTGTTTGCCCTGGCCAGTGTGATGAATCTAGACCTTCAAAATCCCAAAGAAATACAAAGATAACGATGCAAAGTGTGTGTATGTATTTCTCTTTATCTGTGCAAAGATATTGTATAACAGTTTTTGTAGTTGTAATGTTCATGATTGACAATATGCAAAGACAAAATGTGTGTCAGAATTTTTTTCTGTGTCTGTTCTGTGTGTAAAAATTTGCTCCATTCTCAAGTTACATGATTGTATGCTTCAAAAGGTGATTTTACGATCAGCTGATCCACTGCAGAAGTGAAGTTTTTGCTTTTGAAAACATTACCATAACGTTATGAATAAAAACCAAGCAGATGTCAGGAGGGAGCATTGCATAAATTTTGATTGCCTGGAGATCTCACCTTTGTTTGCGTCTCATTTTTATGAAACATAAATCATGGTGTAATAGTGGAGTACGTTTTGCCATACAATCGTACATTCTATGATGTAATTCAATGCGGTATTGTTAGATTATGGACTTATAACGTTCTGATTCGGTTGCATGGGCGGTGAGAGGTGTTACATCATACAATCCTCTTCACAGTCCCAATACATACACACAAAAAATACTTTCTGACATCTCCGATTCCTTGTCTTTAAATTAATATAAATTGAGGATTTCAAGAAAAATCAATCCATTATCTTACTCCTCCAGGGAGAAAGAAATCCTGATTCTATATTCCTGACACAAATTTCCTCGATCAAAGTTGTTCCTTTGAAACCCGTCCATTTTTTAGGTTTCTTTCTACAGAAACCTAAGCTGGCAAGATGTATATGCCGGTCCGCCATAAACGATCACTGCAGTAATAGGAGCGGCTCAACCAACGGTATGTTGTAGTCCTGCATTGAACTGCTAGAGGTCGCTTTTGATCCATGCACCTAGGTTTCGTAACTAAAAATCCGTAGATATTTTCGAAGTCTGGCATTCAGTCAGTCCTATCGTGGATTGGGCAGCATCTATTAGGGGTTATGGCCTGGAAGCTATCCGGCACTCGGTAGGAGTTTTTCGCGGTCGGAGTTGTAGTGTACTCGTATTTGTTTTCCTGTGCGTGGATTGTGTTCAGCACCAAGGACAGGCATGTTTGCCTGTGTGTGGAAGGTGTTCATTCTACCGGTGAACGCATTTACAGTAAGACCACAGCAAGTAATTTTTATGGATGACATCAGCGCGCGCATTAATTTTCGCCTGATTTTGGAGGAAAAAAAAAGAAATTTTGTTGCCTTCTGACAGTGGTCAACGGACCGAAAATGGGCAAAAGATGCCTGTTGCCATGCCGGAAGGTGGATGACAGATAACGTAGCTAGTGACAGTGTAACAGGGATAGCAACAAATCCCTTCAACTGAAACTATGTGTAGAATACAATGTCATATAAACTCATCACAAAAACAGCAGCTTTTTAAAATCACTGAATGAATTAAGCAAAGCTTAAGGTACATGACTGCACATATATAGGGTTGTGTTTTTTGCGTTTTTGTTTGTGTACAACATAAATTGAGAGACAGCGGATGGTTATTACATTCGCCAAGAAGGTTATGTTTTCAGTAGCGTTTGTCCGTTTGTGAACAGCATAACTCAAGAAGCTTAATATGCATTGTCATGAAACTTTATAGGTGGGTAGGTCTTGATGAGACCTAGAGATGATTAGATTCTGGGCGCCCTGGCGGCTTTTGTTGGTACTGCAGCAGAAGTTCCGGTTTTGATATCTCGCGATCTGGACATGCTAGGGTCACGAATTTTTGTTGGTATATAGCTCTTGGGGTAGGGAAGAAGTGACATGAGTTTGGGTCCCCTAGCGGCTTGTTGTGGAATTGCAGGAGCATTTGTTGAAAAATTTTCAAAGGAGGATAACTCAAGAACCAGTTGACGGATTGTCATTATAATGACAATTATGCAAATCAGGAGCTAATATGCATAATTAATGAGGAAATTCTATAAATCTGCTTTCTTCGATAATAGGACTATGAAACACTTATGACATATAATTCAAAACGAGACAAAACATCTTAAGATATAGATTAGGTAAATGACCTAATTTGCATAATTAATGGGAGTTGTTATAATTTCATAGTTGTAACTGCTTATTATGTAACTGTAAATTTCATACTTGCCACATTTGGAAGTTAAGTGAAGGTGAACATCAATAAACATAATTTATTCAAATGACCTCATTTGCATAATTCATGAGGAAGTGCTACATGTATGATAGCCTTTTTTTAAGATAAGGCTATCATTGATTGGAGATTATGATCAACTGATATAATCCATGCAAATGAGGCTCTTATTTGCGAAATCAATGATTAAAATTGTATAATTTGTCAACCGCAAGGGTTAACCCAATTTGCCAAGGTATGAGATCGTGGAACTGTATTTAGTTGATGGTTGAGCCTGGATGGTTGGTGCCAGTAAAATGAAGGTTAAGTTCTCTAATGGGCCTCCTAGCAGCTACTTAAAATATTGCAGCGTAGCGTCAGAGAGGTAAAATGGTATATTTTGGGCATGTCTAGTCAGTCACTAATTGTGGACACTTCCCTTGTAATACATGTAAAGTTATATCCCTTACATAATTCACTTTATGTTAATGGTAGGAAAATTTCACAGAAAATTTCAGTGTTAGCATACATGTACATGTAACGTTACATTGTAACTATGTTCATGGCATGGTGGGGGTGAAAGACGAACGATTTAAAGCGGTTACTGTGATAAGTTTGCAGCACAGAAGTACCGTGAAAAAAACAGGAATTCCAGAAGTTCCAGAATAAGTGTAGACATTATTTTGTGGCGCTTAAAGACATACAGACACACATACACATGCATACTTACTTGTACTTGTACTTGCACATGCATACACACATTGCAAATTGCAAAAGAAGAAAATTCTGAGATACATTTTGTCTTTGCAGTATAAATTTGTCATTCATGAATCTTACAGGAATAAAATAGTTTTTACCATGTAGATACATGTAATTCCTGTGGTTGTTGCTCTATTTGCATACATGTAGTTGTAATAGCTTTCAGCTCCATCTAACATAATGGATTCATAGATTCATACATATAAGACTGTTGTATTCAGATGTTTAACCTATACTGTCAGTTTCTCCTAACTGAAAGTAGACACAGCATAACCATATATAGCAGCATAATATATAATTCAAGGCTTTTACACAATTTACACATTGTAGAACAAATCCAATATTGTTCTTGGTGGAATATAATATAACTCAGAGTTCTCACCAGACTGCTTGAGTGTAGGGGCCCCCTACGCCGTGATTTGGTCCCTCTATGCTGTGATTTATCTACACTAGGGGTATTTTTGGGGGCAGAAGCTTCATAAATCTTTCAAAAAATGAAAATATAACTTTAAAAGAAGAACTTTATTGACACAACAAAAAGTACAGCGACTTTTGTAAGGTCAAAGACATGTAGATAATATTATATACAGACAATTATACATGGGTACAACGAAAATATCCTACGTACAGAACAATAGGTGGGTCAACTAATACTACTTCTTCTAAGGTCTAAACATTCTTTGATATATTTACCTATTTGTACACAGTAAGGGTTATTGCCTTCTAGGATGAACTTAAATTTATCTATAGCATGAAATGTAACAAATTCTGTTGAGCAGGCGGAGAGAAGGTTGAACAGCTTTGTGCGTTTGTCGTTATATGGTGTACAATTCAAAATAAAATGTTGTTCGTCTTCAATATCATTGGGACAGAATGGACAAAACCTCTGGTCGCGAGGGATTTTTTTTATATCTTCCTAATTCTATATTCAATTTATGGCTAGAAATTCTCATCTTTGTAATCGATCTTCGAACTTCAAAAGTGTGTATTTCAGAAAGGTAATTTTATTGTCCATACCTCGTCTTTAACATGAGGTTGTATTGTAACAAACTAAGGGAAAAAATGTGTCCACCAGAGGGTCTGCCTAAATACCTCAACCGACCGCGTAATGGGTTAATATGCCGTATACATGGGCTAATAATCTTTTCCAACGCTCTGCATACATAATATGCTTGTATGAATGAAAAGACACCGTAACTCCGACCATGGAGGTATCCATGTTCCGACGTATTTGCCATTTTTTAAAAGTTATTCCTCTGGTCTGTTGGATCGCCATCTTTGGGCCTGCATGGGGAATCTCTGGACACCTTTTGCTTCAGTACAGGCAACAGAACGCAAAGATGTTGGTTTATAAATCATATTAAAGCACACATACTATCATAACCAACTCATATATAATAGCTAATAGTATATACCGACTTTTGTTCCTTTTTCGACTTCCAAAAATTTGTCTTCACTTTATTTGCATATCAATCAACAGGTTGTGTATATAAACCTGCTTTCCCCTCTGGTCTCTCAGTCACTGACGAAAGCTAGTGGATACTAGCTGAAACGTCTGACGTTTTCAAAATCATATCCAGTTGCTTGAGTAACTGTTTTTTGGCATATCGTATTACCTGGATGTCTAACCTTCATCGACGTATATACCGAGTGTTTTCCAGCCTGACATCCAAGCTGCTAAGCACGTACGCCTACCGGCTTGACCTCCATTGACCTCAAAAAGGTTACGCTCCGTGGAACGTGAAACCAGAGGAATAACTTTTAAAAACTGGCAAATATGTCAGAGTTACAGTGTTTTTTTCATTCATACAAGCATAGACAATGTTTTCCAGAGCGTTGGAAAAGGTTGTATATTAGCCCATTACGCTGTACGTTCTGTACCCATTACGCGGTCGGTTGCGGTCGGTACATGTAGATTCCGGTTGAGGTATTTAGGCATACCGGTCCACCAGGCAAGAAACAGTGTCTCAGGGGGTAATGAGTTACAAAATGTTGAGTGGAGAATACCAGACCCCCAGCTGTGGTTATGTTTTTGGGATCTCGATGTGCAACTTGCGCTGCAGAAAGTTGCCCTTCTGTACCAGACCCCTACACTCTGAAAAAAATCCTGGTGTGCACCCTGTAACTGTTCTTTGAATCTTGCTAAAATGATTCTGTGCAGAAAAAGCAATATTCAATGTACATTTAACATTACATGTACCAGCTGCCAAAAGGCTGTATTTAGTTTTAAGGAGTGAGTACATACATGTATAGGAGCCCCGGTATACAAATAATATTATACATGTTTAACTGTTGTGAGTAAAATGTTGCAATAATATAATGGTACATGTACAGTAACTTGTTACGACCTTTAACCTATAACCCTGCTAAAGAACATCCGACCAGTTCGACCCAAGGAGGTTTAGGAACAGGTCATCATAGACAGCAGAGTGCAATGTTAACATTAATGGTTAACACAGTACTCATCTGTAACCAAGGCTGATGGGATCTTAATTATGGACCTTTAGGCCACACCAATTTAATTTCTTGGTTAACGGATTCGCCACTTCATTTTTTTCTGATTTGCAAATAAAAATAAAAATTCAGAATCAACTGCAAAATGCTCATACATGTATTTTGCCCTGAACAGTTGAAAACAGTCCTTTTCATCCTAGTTGTTACAGTTATTCCATCTTTCAATGCAGTGGTATCATTAAAAGTTCAAAATTCATTGTTTAAACATGAACCAGCCTGGTGTGTTGACTTCATGGCTCCTATGATAATCGTACCATTTGGGCCATAATAGGATGCCTACTAGTAGACCTGTTTTTATTTTTTTTCGCCCGCCCGCTCCATTATTTTTCTAGAAAAATCCGTTAACCAAGAAATCAAATTGGTGTGGCCTTAGCACTTGACCATTAACAATCAGACATCACCTAACTACATATAGAAACACGTAATTTGGAAATTAAAATTACAAATGATTTGGAACAGAATCTATTAGTCTACATTTAACAGCAACCTATTAAACATCTTTTTGATTATTAAAAGCAAACTACAATTTGAAATTGAACACATACCTAAACAGCTAAATACGATTCACCAGTTAACAAGTTACAGATGTGTACTGTGTTTACCTGTGTTGTAGTCCCACTACCAATAAAACATAACCTGTCCTTAACATCATCTTCAAAGCTGTGCACAATAGGTTTACATTCCAAGCAGTTCTAACAATATTGATGTGCAGGTTAGTCAGTGCAGCTAAAGTTAGAGTAACTGTCTTATATGTCCTATACTGGTAAATGTGAGTTCATAATATCATAAATTACAATTGCATTTAGGTATGTCAATACTCATATGCTGTATTGTCTGTTACATATACATGTAATGTATAGAAAAATAATGGAAACAGTTTTTAGCGTATTTCTGAAACTGGTTTGAACTGTAATGAATGAAAATTCATAAACAGAAATCACAGAAAGCGTTGGATTGCCTTGATAGAGACTGAATTTGGTACTGGAAACCTGTTTCCAAACAATTTTAAGATGATGATGAAGATCCAGGTTTGTGTTACTGATTTCTATGTGGGACTAAACTTTAACCTCAGCATCCCGTCACAGTTGGGTCCAGGCCAGAACGTTTGGTGATGCCCATTTTCACCACCTCCTCTGCACATGTGGGATGGATCCCCACACTACTGACCATCTGCTGGTACGTCAGGCCTGACCGCAGGGCCACCGCAAAACCCCTGGGTCACCTCCCCCGCATTTGGTCCAAGAAAATGCAGCCCAACAATTTCCTGGTCCCCGTCTAGTTTACACACGGCTTTTACGTAACACTGCGAGGCGTCCCGTTCGGGGATGTAGAACTCCAGTGGTTTGTAGAAGGCGTGATACACCTCCACGTTCTCACTACCAAATCTCTCCAGCGCCGCCTCCTCAGACAGTCCGACGGAGCCGTACTCCAGTGGAGTGAAGACCGTGGTGGGGACTTTGTCGTAGTCCATGTGTTCGTGTGTGCCAGCAAACAGCCGGTGTGCCAACAGCCTCCCTGCCTTGATGGCGACAGGAGTCAGCTCGGGACGCCCGTGCAGAATGTCCCCGATAGCGTAGATGTTGGGCACCGAGCTTTGTTCAGGATTCTCAACTTGACCTATCACCTTTCCTGATTCGCTGTACCACTCCACACCGACTGTATCCAGTCCGAGGGTCCCCGTGTTGGCAAACCTCCCGACCGCCATCATAACTGTGTCAAATGTGTCTCCACCCTGCTGGCCATTTCCATCCCTCCACACGACCTGCATGAATGAGGAATGAATGAAGATTTTATTATGTTTACCGAAGGAAAACATATTGTTTATACTCAGTTTCTTCCTCCTCTTCTGTTCCAAACACTAACCTCTGACCTAGCCAATGACATGATTTGTTGAGGTCTGTTACCATGGTGACTGGTGTTGGGTTACATAATGTTGCAATTTCATGGTCTGCTCTACTCCTGTCACCATATACTCGTAGTACATGTATGTGAATGTTTTTGAGTAAAAATTAACAGAGCAGACCATGTCCGAAGGTAAACATTATGCATTTGCCTAGTTTATCTGTCTTTTTGCTTTATTTGCCCAGCCTGTATTGGGCTTATAAAACAAAGAAAATACAGAACAAACTAGAAAGGCCAACATTTGCTCAAGAGCAAATACAGCACATTTCACCCATTCTTCTTCCCCATTCCAAATTTTCCCATTCACCATGCAATCCATGCCACCCTGTATTTGCTTGGAGATTATCTTTTCATAGAAGTCACTGTATTTGTTTTGTTTGATTATCATAAGTTTGATCACATTATCCCAGCAGCCAATCAGCAAGGTGAAACTACTCCCACCTGATGAGGAAGTAGGTCATGTGTGCCAAATATGGTCATGCATGCCACTTGTGCCAAATATGGTCATGCATGAGCAGCATGACCATATATGGTAAAAACCCTAACAAAATCATTTTAAAAGCCTGTATCCAAAAAAAAACGTACTGAGGGTATTTGACCACTTAACCTCCATACCAAATTTCAGGTCACTTTGCCCAAAAATGAAGAAATTGAATCATTGGCCTTTTAACAAAATGGCAAGAGGAGGAGAAGAAGAAACACGAGGGAAAACAATACATATCACCCATACTACATGGTATGGGTGAAATGTAATTAGATGACAGGGTTTGATATGTAAGGCTTATAAAACACCAGGAGAAAATACAGAATAAATCAGAAAGGTAACATTTGCAAAGAAAATGCATATTATATAATGTTTACCTTCACATGGTTTAGCCTTACCAGCATTTATTTGGAGAAGAAGAAACCAGGAGCAAAACAATATATTTTCCTTCCTTCACAATAACATACTGATAGTGATAGAAGAATAAAAAAGAAATGCAGACTGACCTGTAACTGCCCGTTGTCCATCTTGTCTATCGCCATGGGAACGTGTTGCCGTAGGAACCGAGTACCGCTCCCCTCCATGTGGTCCGTCACGAGGTCTGCCATCTGTCGATCGAACCCCCGCAGCGGGAGGGAGCGGATCATGACGGTGGTGGGGAAGCCCAGACCTGTGAGGAAGCCAGCACTATTTCACATTAATTATGCAAATCAGGTCATAATTTGCATAATTGGGTAATCTGTTGATGTTCCGTCTGCCACAGATTAAATAGATTTGTATAAAAGCACTAATTATATAAAACACTGTAATTATAGAATTTCCTCATTAATTATGCAAATTAGGTCCTCATTTGCATAATTTCCTTTTAATTATGTACAACTCTCTCTCAGCTACCTACACACAAAAACTGATGAAAATACGTTGTTCCTATCTGGAGTTATTGGCTTTGAAAGGTTTCGCCAGAAAGTCCCCTGCAGTTCCAGAACAAGCTGCCAGGGGGACCAAATTCACACCACTTATTCCTGACAAAAAAAGCTATCTGTCACCAAAAAGTCAAGACCGTAGCATGTTCAGGACAAAAGATACAAAAACAGCAGCGGGAGGGAGCGGATTATGACGGTGGTGTGGAAGCCCAGACCTGTGAGGAAACCGGCACACTCCAGAGACACGTAGGACGCTCCGATGACCAGGGTCTTCCCCGGAGGTCTGTCCAGCATGAACAGATCATCGCTGGTGATGGCATATTCCATCGCACCTGGGGGGAGTCAAGCACAGTCAAAGTGAAGCAGAACAACAAAAATGTGGGAACGTTTGTCGTTTGTAGAATGTAAATTTAAAAACATCATCAATCATAAAAGGTACATGTACATGTATGAGACTAATCTTACCTTACAAAACGTTTCACTCACTCAAGACTCAGGAATCATTTACTCTTTCACAGTGAAAAACAACAAGCCAAAGGTGACAATCCTCCGTGAAGTTTGATATTTTGCCGATCGGGAACCGTGTTCCTGACCCTGGTGTTGTTTATTGCTTCAAGTTTGAGGTCCATTTTAATTACACACACACAACCATTGCATTCACATATATAATGTTGACTATATAGTCCACCAACTTAGCCAGCGGCTACATGACTCTTACATACAAGGCTGGTTTAGTTGCATTAGAAATAATTCAAAACTAGCATATCTTGACAAATCAAAAAAATGTTATGAACAAGAAAAATACCTTTATGATATAGAAAATTTTGAAATCCGTAAAGCTATAACACAGCTAAGAATCAGCAGTCACAAATTGAATATAGAAACAGGAAGATATTACAATGTAGCCCCTGGCCAAAGATTTTGCCCATTTTGCCCACAGAAAATCGAAGATGAATTTCATTTTATCATGGAATGCTCTAGATATGATATACCTACGTGATAATCTATTCAAATATCTCACTTCAAATACGACAGATTTCAATAGACTTGTTGCTACAGATAGATTTGATTATATATTTAAATGCAACAGCGAACACAATGCAAAAATAGGTAAATACATAAAAGACTGTTTTGTTATTAGAAAGAATACTGATTTGCTGTCAAATGTACCCATAGATAACTCTGCCTGATTGTAAAGCCTAAGCTAACTTTTGATTATTTCTTTTCTATATATAAGTTGTTAAGTTTATTCTATACCTATCTATTTTACTATGCTACTTATTGTTACCTACTAGTATTTGCCATACAATGTACCCTGTACAATTGTCGTGCAATAAAGTTCTTCTATAATGATCGGACTATCATGGTAGTGTCACTTGGTAAGTAACAAAGACAGCCCCACCGTCTTACCGTTCCTGCTATACCACTTGAATAAGGAGTTCTTTATATCATAAGCAAATAATCTGAAACAGTTGCCCGACAGTTAACAGTTGCATAATGGCCAACAGTTGTGGTATCAGTAAAGCGTGACTCAGGCCAAGCCGAAAACCAGTCAGCAATATTAGCGCAGTCCATATACTCAGTAACAGTAGCCCATCAATGAACCCCTGCAAACATCTGCCTGAAGGAAACACCCCCCCGCTATTCCAAACAATGGGTTTTTCTGGACCATACCAAAAAATGTAGGGGTGCATCTGAAATACTACATCGACCGCAGAAACAGCTACGGCAAAAATAAAAATGCGTGCATTATCACGGGCATGCCCGCAGACAGCATATAAAATTACCGATTAAACAAAGAGAACCCCGTGTTCTAGCTGCGAACACGAAAAACCAACTGCCCACAATACTCCGTCCGGAGGTCATGACCTCCTTCATGGAGTAACAAATCACTGAATTGAACTGAATGTTGTGTATATGTACAATGCATGGGTTACATTGTCACATGTCAATATGTACTTGAATTTGACTTGGTTGTAAGGCCATGTTGATTTGATTAATATATGGATGATTTTCCGATTTTTTTTTTTGCAATATACGGTATATATTTTCTTATTTTGCAACTGTTTTGTATGATTTACAGCATGGTTCAAAACTTTTTTTTTTGGAAACAGCCAAAAATTCATGTGCACGTGGATGCCATCCACATAATCAAATCAACATGGCCTAATTATATGATACATAAAAGCTCCCCTGACCTGGGATGTCTGGGTACTTGGGCCTGCCTCCCACTGCCAGTACGATGTTATTGCCTGTCACTGTTGTCTCCTGTCCACTGGCTGACAGCATTCTCACAGTGTGGGCATCAACTAAAGAACCCTTTGCATTCTGATAGTCCACCTAAAAGGCAATATTTGTTTGTTTGAACCCTTGTTTATTCATTAAAAACTCATGAATAATTCTTTGAACCTTTCACAAGAAACTCCTCATTCATTTATCTAACCTCCATGACACGTCATGGAGATTATATTTTCAGTTGCGTTTGTCATTCTGTCTGTCATTCTATCAGTCGACAAGATAACACTCAAGAAGGCCTGGATGGATTGGTTTATACTTGATGCGTTGGTAGGGTGTGACAAAAACAGGAAAGGATTTTTGGGCCCCCTAGTGGCTTTTCTTGATACTGCAGTGCAACTTCCAGTTTTGATATCTTGCAATTTGAACATACTATAGGGTCATCAATTTGGGATCGTAAGTAGCTCTTGAGCCCGGAAAGAAGTCACATGAGTTTGGGCCCCCTAGCAGCTTGTTCTGGAACTGCAGAATGGTCTGTTTTAAAATCTTTGAGAGAGGATAACTAACAAACTGGTTGATGGATCATTGTAATTTTTGGTATGAAGGTAGCTTAAGTTATGTTTGACATATTTGAATTACAATTATGCAAATCAGGATCTAATTTGCATAACTAATGAGGAAATTCTATAAATCCGTAGTGCTCGACATTAGCCTATAAAACACTTATAATTAACAATGATTAACACGTATAATTAAGAATGACAGGAACATTGGCAGATATTAATTATGTAAATGGCGACCTCCTTTGCATACACATGTAGTTAATGTGAAATTGCTACAATTTCATAGTCATAACTGCTGGGAAAATACTTGCCATAGTTGGAAGCTAAGTCAAGGTGAACATCACTAATTAGGACCTTATTTGTATGATATAATCTACGAGGAAAAGCTAGAATGGCCTTATTTCTTAAGATAATCCTGTCATTGGGTGGAGAATATGATCAACTGATACAATGCTGGCTCTGTCCTTAGTGCTAAACTCACTGTCCAGGCGGACAGGTTCTGTTTATTCTTACTTTATTGTTTTATCATTACTTTCTGTTCTTTGAGTAACTACGTTCAGACACAGTGTGTACGGCGTGTCTGTGGATTGGAAGGGTTGAGCACCTATGCAAATGCTCTTATAATTTGCATAATCGCAAATGACAGGTGAGCATCACCATGCATAAGATTTACGAAAGTACTGTTTAGTGAACATGTCATGGAGGTACTGTATGTAATCGCAGAA